CGAGGTGATGCTGCTTTCTTATTGTTGCCACACTCAGTCAGTCAGTCACTCACTCACTCACTTGTCTCTTTTCCCTGGCTAGGTTGTCTGGTTGCGTTTTTGGAGGGGGGCTGGCGTCACGATAGGTAGTAGATGCAGCAGCCACCACGACCACGCGAGATAATAAACCCTGAACACCGACTCCGAAGCTGCGTGATGGGAAAGTTAGGGAGATTCCCGTTCCTCCTTTTAGCAGCAGTACCTACTGTCAGGCACGGGAAACGGGAACAAAGGTTATTGGATGGATGGACTGTTCCCTCTAGAAGACGTGCTTCATCGTTTCTTTTCTTCTTTTCTGGGGACGGCACCCGGAACGGCCAGCCGACATACACATGCATTCAGGGGTTGATGACCTAAAGTAAGTTTGTTATGTACCGGGTCGGTTGCTGCTCGATCCCCAGATTGTCAGCTCCCGGGAACTGTTATTACCAGCAGAGGATGCGTGAGTTCGATAACGGTAAGCAAGGTAAGGTATGTGGAGGTAAGTAAGAAAGAGGAGGGGCAGGTATGAAGGGTAGCTGCGGCTGGTTACCTTACCGAACCAAGACCCAAGTCAAAGTCTCGGATCGTATTAAATGGGGGGAACAAGAACGAAAGAGAGAGCGAGAGAAGGAGAGTGGGAGAGAGGAGGTACAGACAGATGGGTCGGTCAGACAGGCCAGGCCAGACATGCACCACAGATTGTGGGAACTGGGGGACTGGGGGACGGGGTGAGCGAAAATGTAGGAGCGAGTAGTGAATAAGGAGATCTCGGAGAACAAGCTACCAGGAAGGATCCGAAGCTCTTTCAATGTCCTCGGTCGGTCAGCCAGCCTTTACCGAACTGCCCTTCTTGGGTATTCGAGCTCAAAGTACCTCACTTCCCCCCTCCTGTCCCTTACATACGATGATACTCGCGTATTCTAGTCGGTGATAATTTCGGCGCGTTGTCTGCCTTACTCTACCCAACAGTAATTGTTGACTGTTGTTGGGTGGTAATGGTTCTTCTTCATCACCGAAATGAAATAGATCTGCACGAAGGAACTGGGAATGTGCCTGTTCGATTTCCCCTCACTTTCTTCCAGACCAAGACTCACATGCCTCTTTTGGGTCTATAAACGAACTCGGTGGTCCCATTTCTGAAGAAGAAGCGAGTGTGAGATGTGAAGTTCTTCGGGGAACCTCCCTGCTTCGACCCCATAACCTTGATCAAACACATGGGACAATGGGTGGTTGATGGGGGTTTATGTGAGCTGCAGACGCAATAGCGATTTCAACGCTCCCGCCCGCCCGACCGGACGGGATAGCACAGCAACACACAAATTTTTTAAATTTTTAAAATTTTTTTCTGGGGAGGTAAGGAGGAAAGCTTGGGGACAGAAAAGCAGCTAGGGGCAGAAAGCTGCTGCAGGCAAGCACCGGAACGTTGATCCCACGTTTCACAAAGAGTGGAGGGCCCTAGGTAAGCTGAAGTACTGTACTGTGGGAGTCGGGGGTGTCGTGGTGATATCGCCCATTTTTTGTTGCATATGCTTCTTGTTTGTTTATTAAAGATCCATTTCGGTGAAGTAAGCTCGATGAGCAAGAACGCCATCCGATTTGAATCGTCAAGCCTTTGCGAGTTTATCTCCCATCTCGAGGTCCCGGGGGTCGTGACAGCCACAGCCTTTCTTGGTGTTCAGTCTGTCACAGATCCCTCTCCTCAGGCTGGGCCCATGTCCACCGTGGTCCATGATCCCATGTGTCGTTTCGGATCACCACCACCAAGCAACCAACCGTAGCAGTGGAGATATCTTGTCAAAAGATCCCCCAGTCGGAGTATATCCCTTCCCCTTCTTATCCGGCATTCGGTTATTGTTGACCTTATGCCTCTTGGTGAGTGACCTTCGACGGCCCAGCGCCCCGCTCCAGGCAAAGAGGCGCTCGATCCACTCCCTTCTTCTACCACCATCTTCAATCTGTGCCTCGATGGCGGCGTGGGGGAGGCTGGTCCGAGTCTAGATTCCCCAAAAGGGCCACCGGCCATGAAGACTGAACCATGCGTGAGCGCCACTTTGCTTCTTGCTTGCTGACCGTGCCTCAAGTCGAAGACGGAGTGAAGAGGAAAGACTCATGATAACGACTAGGACATACGCTGGAAAAGGAGTGTGGCGTCTGGGCATGGGCGTGTATCCGCGTGTGTGTGCGCGAGAGTGTGGGCTGGCGGGTTGGCGGACAGTTGAGCACAGAAGCACGATCGGGAGACTCCATGGAGGAGGAAGCCTATCGGACGTTCTTGTTCGTCTTTGTGTGACAGTTGCAGGTAAGTATTGAATCGTTGCTGCAGGTCATCGCTGCCCCATGCCCATCTGTGTCTTTATGTCTCGTCTGTCTGTGCAGTCTTTGATCTCCATTCCGCCCCTGTCCTTGTTTTTGTCTCTTGAGTCTCTGCTTCGGTTGATGATTAGGGTTTTGACTTGGGCTTGGTTTGATGCCCGCATATGCTGTTTGTTGATACGCAAAGTTAAGAATAGAAGATGAACAACGTAGTAGAACTAGCTACTACCGGATGTTTTCTTTTTGGTTCTCTCTTTCGTTGTACGATTCACCGTCGTTGAGTGACCTGAGAGTGTCCCAGCGGCCGGGCCCAGGCCAGAGCTCGTCCACCAACCGTGTTACTGGTGATGTCCTTTCGTTAAGCGCACCTTCTTTTTTGTCGTTAATCAACCCACGCACACTGTTATTCTTCCCTCCTTAGGCAGGAGTGAGCCTCAGGGTAGCAGCAGCTACTGAGCAATTGTCAAAGGCGGCAGGACCCGTATCATGACAGGCACTTAACCCGCATTAAATGAATAATCCCTTACCTTCCCGAAGGGCGTCTCGTCAGCTGACGCCGGCCAGGGCTGGCAACAAACATTCTCCCGAACCTGACATTGAGTGAAGTACCCACAAATCATAGGCCCGGTTTGTAGATATTGGAATCGGTTCCGTGATTTCCTATAGGCAGACCAGTCAGTCAACCGTTGGAATCTCTAACACAAGTGACATGGACAACATGGGAACATGGCCTTGTCCAATGTCAAGTCCTGAAATTATGGGGGTGCCGGGATTCCCTCTCACCTCCCTTCACAATTCGAAGGGTATGCTGGGGACATGGGGGAAGAAGCAGGTTCCCGTCACATCAGTCCCTCTTTCTTTCCTGGCATTTTCTATCCTTGTCCGTTCTCTTTCTCAACTCTCGTCGAAGAGCAGCTCGAGGCAGGAACAGCCCAACAGTCAACCTGGACCCTTAAAGCAAAACAGCATCGCTCTTCCCAAGCCCACTGCTAGTATCCCTTTGCCCTTGGCTGGGTCTGGTCGGGGCCCGAGCACGGAAGCATCGTGGCGACCAACTTAATGCAATCTGTTGTGTAACCACGATTGGTCTCTGTGGTACCATCACACCATGAGTGATGCTAGGTAGCTCTCGACGCAATCGCGGCGGGGAAAATCTTCAGTCAGGGAAGCCCATGTTGAACAACTGCCGTTGAGATACCTACCTGTAAGACTGAACACTGGCGATTTAGCAGACAGAGTCAGTATTATGAGGTTCCTTAAAGCACTGCAAGTAATTGTTAGTACACAAAAAAAGCAAAAAACAAAAAAAAACAAAAAAAAGAGAAAGGGGATAAAAGTGGACAGAACAGAAAGACGTAGAAAGGGGACACAGAGTTGAAACAAAATAAACTGGAAGCAGGGAAAGAGGCCTTTTAACTTCGTCCGCTGATTGCCCATCTTCTGCTTCCGACGATGAATCACACCATCTCCCGAGCAGGAAAAGTCAACTAGACAAAACACAACGTCCAGTCCCATGTCCCTTCTCTGCCCCGGAGATGAACGCAGAACAAAAACCCCAAACGGCCTCGGAGACGTCATTTTTCCACGCACGAAAGCCCTCCAGTTATCTTTCGCTTTTATCTGGTAGCCGGCCGGCCAACTTCATGCGGTCCTGAAGATCCACTTCTCAGGAAGCAGGAAGCGCAGAGTAGAACCACATCCCGATCAAACTGCTCCTTCACTCCCCTCTCAAGTTCCCCCGCCCCAAGCCACCCTTCATCCTCGACGCCTTGATTTCCCTTTATCCCTTTCGGATCCAGTGGAAGGTGTGCTTCGACTTCTCCTTCTGACGAGTACAACTTCGCACAAGCAGGACTTGCAGAGATATGATCATGAAATTGCTCTGATGACAGAAGAAAAGTGTGTCAAAACCACGGTTGAGTAGGTAGGCGTTCCGAGCGGAGAGAGTAAAAAAAAAAAAAACTAAAAAGGAAAGCCTAAAAAGAAAAGCCCAAAAAGAGAACCGAGAGAAGTCCAAAAGTCGAGGGACAGAACAGCATCCATTGTACCCAAACAGAATCGCCAACTCTTGAAGTCGAGACTCCCGCTGGTATGGGGGTTGTATTTGTGTATATGTAGTAGAATAGAAAAGAGTCAGAGATGTGTTTCGAGCTTCGTGATCAGAAGAAACTGAGGCCCGGGTCTTACCGACGGCGGGAACACACTAACAGTTCTGCTGGCAAAATGTCATTACGAAACTATTAGGTCTCTTTGCTTTGCTTTTCGGGTGTCAGACCCCTCGCGTTTTCTTCACTCCTTCAATTCAGCCACATTCTCATCTTCCATAAGAACGAAACGGGCAGTGCGATTCACATTAGCGGTCAATCGAGATCCAAGTCTAGGTTTTTGCGTTGGTTGATGGGAGAGTAGAGGGTGAGAAGACTCTCATTGGTCGTGAAGGGGGGGGAGTAAGTGTTGCGGGTTGAGGAAGTTACGGTAGCACAGGTAGGTAGGTAGCTGTGTAGATAGCAGGAGGGCGGAGGGCGGAGGGGGGGGGGGGAATGGCAAAGGGTATGCACTCCCAGTTGTGAGTGAGCGTCATGGCATGATAACACCGTCACATCATCGCATACCCGAGAAATAAACGGAATCGCAATTGGGAGGCAAAACAAATTCATTCAACTTCATGAAGCAAGATGGAATTCCAAACTGAAGAAGCAAAAACAAATCAAAGCCAAACGCCCGCCAACTCCAACTAAACTAACTAAACTAAACTGAAGCCATGAAACCAAGAAGCCAACATAGGACAGAAAAGGACTAATAGAACACACTAAACAACGACAAGACAAGACAAGAAATTAGTACCAAGATCTTTAGGTCATCTCGTTCGTCACCTTTCCTTCCTTCCATCCTTTCTTCTTCATTTCTTTCCTTCCGTCTCTCTATCCATCTTCCAACGATCCGGTCCGTTTCCAATTTCTTCTCAAAGTTCCTTATCTCAGAATATCACGGCGTCCATCAGGTCATCACATTCAAACCTGCGACCCCATACCCCCCATCATCTCATCCCCCTCTCATCCCCTGCGGTACCGGTTCCCTCTGCTCTCTATGCACTGGCTGCTCCCGGTCCCTGGCCACCTGCTTCCCCCCACTAACAACCCTCCTCTGTTTCCTCGGCCTCTGCACCAAAACCTGCGCAGGACAAACAACAACCTCATCATCTCCCCTACCCATATCATCCCCCTTCCTAATAACCAGGGGGAACAGGACCACTCGCACGGTAGCCCTCATCCTCTCCAATTCCTCTGGATCGGGGACCTCGGCGTCTCCGCTGCGTTCATTCATCAAAGCAGCATTGAACGACACTGTCTCGATCAATTCCCCACTTTCATCATATTCTGGTTGAAGGGGAGGGAGCATGATATACTCCGCTCTTTGACAACGCATCTGAATTGACAGCGAAACGGCCTCCTTGACTACACGACGGAGCTGTTCCAGTATGACGGTTTCCTTGTCTGACGGCGGGGGCAGGATCTTATCCAGTGCGTCGAGGATAGCTTGGACGACTGCTTCCGTGTCACGGTCTCGCTGACTCTTGTAGTTTCTTCGTTGGCTGAGCAGCGTGAGGGTAACAGCGCGCCATTGCCGGACTGCATGCACGGGTCCGGTTTCCGACAGTTGTTTCTCAAGGTACTTGAGCCGTTGACGCTGGTCGCGGTCCATGCCGAAGAGGAAACGGGTGAAGACAAATTCGTAAATCATGGTCATAACCATGGACATGAAGACGTCGCGGCGGCGAACGCGGTCGGCGAGGTAGACGTCCACGTCGGAGCCGTCGAGGACGGCGTTGTCGAGGCGGTCGATCAGCTTCTCGTCGTTTATTTCGGAGGTCAGGCGGCAGTGGCGCATGTCGCTGAACTTGGAGAAGCGGAGGACCCATTGCTGGACGTGGGCACAGAGCTGGGAAAGACGCTGGTCGAAGTAGTCGACGTCGTGCAGGTCGAGGAAGTCATCGGCTCCAGAAGGCTCCGGTGACCGGAAAATTTGTTCTTGGTTCTCGATTTCCTTCTGCAGCTCGCTGATCCGGGCAGCTTGGGCGTCCAATTGGGCGCGCAGATGGGCGATCTGGGCATCCTTCTCTGCAATGGCCTTGGTATATTGTTCGTGACCGCCCTGAGCGGCGGCGAGTTCCTCGGCGGCTTTCCTCACTTGCTCTTCGAGTTCGCGCACCTTGTCGCTGTGCTTAGCAGCAATGGCGGCAGTTGAGCTCTTGAAGCCTTCGTATGTTTCCTCGAGTCGGTCGCATGTTTCGCGTGTTTCTTGGATTTCGCGTTGCAAGTTCTCGATCTCGATATTCTTGTCGGCAAGGATGCTGCTCAGCTCGGAGTTGCGTTGGGACAATTCGGTTTCGGCGTCATTTTTGGCTTTTTGCAGCGCGGCATTCTCGGCCATCAACTGGGCAAGTTGTCTCTCCAGATCAATAAGCTGGACACTTTGCCGTTTGCGCAAGCTGGGCGGACGGGCGGGCGATCGCGGAGAGCCCAGGCGACCTTCGCCTAAGCCATCCTGTTTGGAGCACAATTGTGTCAGCCAGCGTGCTTTTCACACAGTTTTGAATGACAGAAAAAAACTTACATAAACGTCGGACACATCCATTGACCCCTTAGATCGGGTGCGGCCTTCATTGGCGACGGGCGTGGGAGATAGTGCGACAGAAAGAGCCCGGGGCGTTGTCACCACAGCAGCTTGTTTGTGTTTGTCTTTGGTGTCGAGGTTCTTGTTGTCGTCACCGGCGACAGGGCTGGAGCTGGAGTTGGTGGTGGTAGTGGAGAGCAAGTGGGTAGTGCCCAATGCCAGGGCAGCTGCACCGGCCCCAGCAAGGACGCTGTTAGCGCTGGTAGCCCTGCTAGTGTTGGGCCGGGGAGGACTAGGGGTGGCTGGGGCCTGGTTTTGGTGGTGGGGGGCAGCCGTCGGCGATGATCCCGATCGGGTGGTGGAGGTGGGAATGGTGTCACTGTGTTGTTGACCACCACCACGCGAGGGAGTTGTTGGGCTGACAGTGCCACCAGCGTTCAGGCTTCTGGAACTTGGTGGTGGAGGGCTCACTGTAGCAGTAGCAGTCTCTCCCTCACCTTGCTGTTCTCCCTCTTCTGCAAGTGTTCCAAGGAATGACTTGGCGGCGGGATCCTGTTGGCTGCCAAAGGAAAGGGAGCGCAGGTTGCCAGTGGCCCGCTTGTCCATCCGCCTGAGCGGGGGAGTGCTCGTGTGAGACCGGCTGCTGATTATGCTACTGGTGGTGCTGCCTGGACTGTCAGGCCGCAAGTTGTTGAAGAAGTTGCTGGCAGTACTCAGCGGCTCGGGAGACCGCAGTCCCTGTCGTGCAACACCAGTGTTGGATGGGATTGGCCGGCCAACCGGTGATGGCGATTGGCTTCCTGAGACTGCTGATTGCAATTGCTGGCTGATGTCCGAGACACTCCGGAAAGCGCCTGTTGGCCTCATCGCGGGGACTCCAAGGCCTGGCAAGGTTTTGGGAATATGTTGCTCAGCAGCTTTGTCTTGTGGTGTTTCCCGCCTTGTCTCCTTGCTGCTGTGTTGCTGCTCCTTGACGACATCCATGTTGACCTCCGTGTTCTGAGGCACTGGTTCCTGGATCTTGGGAGTCCCAGTAGTTCTCAGAGGAGACGAAGGTCCAGTCTCGGTCCGGTCACTGCCAGCAGACGGGCTATTGGCAAAATCCCGTAGATCAACCCCTCTCTCTCGCAGATCCTCCTCCTTGATCTGGGCTTGTCGCTCAAGTTGTTGCTGGTGATACTGCTCGTTGAAGACCGCGTACCGTGGCATCTGCGGCGAGCCCCTGGCCGATAAGGTGAAGCCACTATCACGGTTGGGATCCATGATGGGAGTCCCGTATCTGAAAAGGCCCGTGATGCTGGCTTTGTTGATGGGTGAATCGCCGTCCTGGTCGCTCTTGTGTCTGTCGTCATCCGTTGCCCAATCTTCCTCCCGCAACGTCGGTAGGCTGTTGTAGGAATGCGCGTAGTCTGAAATGGTGGACATGGGCGCGCTGGGGGTTTGTTGATGTTGATGATGGTGAGGTTGATCCGATGTCGCGTGACTGTCTGCGGCCGGACCTTCCCCATGCTTCGTGTCACCACCACCTTCACTCGCCATCGTGTTGGAGCGACTGACGGTAAATGCTTCCTCCTCCGCAATGTCGTCAGGGAAAGAGAACGTGCGTTGCACAACCGGGGGAGGCGAGTGGGACTCTTCCCGACGCTTGCTTTGGGTTGCCCACGGCATTGGCGCTCCTTCCCTGATTGCCTTGGGAAGCGTCTCGGAATCTTGGCGGTCGAGACTAGGTTCGGGAAGTCCCTCAGAAGAAGGCTTACTTGCCAGGCTCTTGGTATCCGCATCGTTCATGATCGAAACCGACAGCACGTCGTCCTCCGTACGTTGTTTGTCGCCATCTCCAGGAATAGCCCTGGGAGTGCCCTTGGCTTCATCCTCACCATGGTAGTCCTCTTTGTCATCTTCATGGTCATCCTCAGACCCTCCTCTCTCACTCTGCCCCTCAAACTCCGAATCTTCATCCTCGCTGTCTTCTCGCTTGTCATCACCTCGCACAGCCGTGACAGGTTTGACTTGGTCGTCCTCATCCTCGCTTCTTTCATTCCCTTCATCACTCTCACTTTCCGTCTTCTCACCCTCTTCATCTTGCTCTTCAGTCTCCGCCAGTTCTTCCACTTTGCGATCATCTTTCGCTTCGTCTTCCTTCTTCGAAGTGTTCGCCACAACCGCAGCAGCGCCGCCAAACACAGCAACGGTGCCGGCGCGAGCGACGATCGCGACACTTTCTGCTTGATGCACTTCATGTTCCGCATCTGGTTTTAATTAGCAATCCGTTTCAATCTCCCTTTTCTGCATTGCAAGGTGTTACTGACCATCGTCATGCTCAAAATCCTCATTGTCGTCACTCTCGCTTCCACTTTCACTCTGCCACTCATCTGGCATGTCATGGGACAATCCTCTATCGCCTTCGACATGCGGCACCTCCTCCTCCTCTGTAGGTGAAGCAGGCAAGTGCACATCCTCGGGATTAACCTCAGGGAAAGACGCGAATTCCCGCTCGGCAGGTCTCAGCTCAGGCGAGTAATGGTACCTCAACTCAGGCGAATGCCAAAACTCAACCGGTTCAACATGAACAGGCGTGTGGACCTCTTCCTCTGGCCCATCATATCCGGGTTGATATGGCGCTGAGTATTCGACGGGGTGCATCATGAGCGGATGAGGATGGGGAAGTTCCCGCTGATAACGTTCACGGTTTTGTTGGGGGCTGACCTCGGGCGAGGGAAGGAGGTCGGCTAGCGGGTCGTAGTCATCTTCCTCGTCTTCGTCGTCGGAGTCGAGCAGAAAGTGTGTTGCTGCTTCTGGTTCACCTTCGGAGTCAAGTTCATGTTCTGGCTCGGGCGAAGACGGGATTTCGATGCCTTTGAGCTCAACAGCAGGAGAAGCAGGGAGCTGGATGTCTTTGGGTACGATGGCAGGAGATGAGGGCAGTTCAATCTCCTCGGGCTTTGTGACATCATCTTCAGCAACTGTCCTGTCCTCCTCTGCCTCGGAGTCAGAGTCAGAGGCGAGCACTGCATCTTCGGATTGGTCGATAGGCGAGGACGGAAGCGCAATATCCCTGGGTTCAATGGCAGGAGATGAAGGTAGCTCGATCTCCTCGGGGCTTGGGACACGAGGAGCTTCATCAGTTGGCTTGTTGTCTTCCTCCGCCTCTTCGTCAGAATCAGAATCAGAATCAGAGGCGAGCTGCACCTCCTCACGTTCGATAGGAGATGACGGAAGCTCAACATCCCTGGGTTCAATAGCAGGAGAAGAAGAAACCTCAACCTGCTCAGAAACAATTCTCGGAGAAACAGGCAACTCAACCTCAAAGCCAGGAGCTTCCCACTGCGAGCGGCCCGTGGCCTCCTCAACGTAGTACCATCTCTGATACTCGTCGTCCCACATAGGCGTCCAGTCCGAGGGCAGGGGCGGCTTGTCAGAGGGAGGATTGTAAGGCGGCGGCGCTGGCCTGGAGCTGTAGCCCGGAACGCCGGGAGGGGATTGAGGAGGCTGATCCATCAAAACCTTGGGAGAGGTAGGCAGCTCGATATCCTGGGGCTTAATCTCGGGGGAAGCAGGGAGTTCAACATCCTGAGGATACACCTCTGGCGTTACAGGACGGTGAGCATCTTCGACCTTGTCAGCCAGATGTCTCTCGCTTTCTCTAACTGAAACTGGAGAAGCGGGTACAGAATATTCTTCGTCTGAGCGATCGTGAAGCTTGGAAGCCTCGGAAGCCTCAGAAGCTAACATGAGTCCAGCTGCGACCAAACCCGTGGCAACAATGGGGATCATCTCCTCCACCGGAGAGGTGGGAAGCTCCACATCTTCTGGGTTCAGGATAGGCTCAAAAGAGGGGATTTTAACCTCTTCGGGGGTGACCTCAGAAGTGGGAGAATCCAAAGGTTGAAGGTTGGGAGGGATGATCTGTCCTGAGTGCAACTGCTGGAGTGCGGCAATGTCGATATCGGTCGGAGTGTGTTGAGATTCCCCAGAAAATACAGGTGACGAAAGGAGTTCAACGTCTTGGGGCTCCAGGACAGGCGACGATGGGAGCAAAACCTCTTCAGGCTTGGTTTGAGGAGTGGGAGAAGCCGAACGCCGAAGATGAGGCGGGATAATTTGTCTTGAATGCAACCGCTGCATCTCAGCAATGTCAAGCTCAACAGATGGAGTCGGGTGGACTTCCTCCTTGGGGAGTTCAGGTGAAGGAGAGCGCTCGTCATGTTCGGACCTTTCGATGACAGGAGCTTCATGTGCTTCAAAAGTCGACACAAAAGCAGGAACAGGAGTAGGTTCCTCCTGGTCCTCATCAGCAGATGTAGGTTCCGACTCCTCCATCACCGTCGACAAAGTCTCAACCCCATGCGCATGCGCAGGAATTTCGAACAAGGACTCGACCTCTTCTTTGTCAGCTCTCGCCTCGGGAGTGGCGGGCTGGATTTCGACACTAGGCAGAGACATTCCTCGTCCCCAAACAGGAGAATTGCCATGTTCATATGTTGCTGGCTCAGGCTCAGGCTCAGGCTCAGGTTCTTGTGCAGCCTTTACCTCAACCCCACGCTCACTGGTCTTGGTTTGTTCAGGCTGCAACTCAGGCAAACTCTCAGGACTAGGCGTAATCTCCATATCCACCCCAGGTGTAACAACCATGGGCACGGCACCGACGTCCTCACCCTCGTCATCCAAGTAGGAAACAGCCAGCTCCAGAGCTTGCGACAAAGCTTGTGAGTGCGACTGTTCCTGTCCACCCGGCGGTGACCCCATCGAGTCTACCGAGCTAGTGAAATAGGGCGGACTAGCACCAGCCGGCTCTTCTTTCTCTTTCTCAGGTTCCTCAGGCTCAGGAACAACAGTCTGACCCAACGAATCCAAATCAACCGGCACCGGCACCCTATTAATAGCGGCGTCCGGTGCTGCCCGACCTAAAAAAGATGACGGTTGGCTGCGAGGTCGGGATTTTGATCGGAATTTACGGTCGTCGGCGAACATCTCGAGGTAATTGGCTGCTATTTCGCGGGACCGGCGCTGGGATTGTTCTTTGAGCAGGACTGAGACTGGTGGCTGTTGTTGGTGCATGGCAGATGGCGGGAAGCGGGGCGTGACGGGTGAGGAACCGCGGTTGACGGAAGAAGACTCAAGGAAGGAAGCGGCGAGCGCTTTGGCTTTTCCGGTGGAAGCGGCAGGCCATGAGTTTCTGGTTGAGGTTTTAGCGGGTGGCGAGAGAGACGCTGCGAGGGCTTCGTTGGAGAGACGGGCTGGCTCGGTGGACCTGATGCGCTTGTGTCTGACTGGCTCTGCTGGCTTGGGTGGTTGGCGCGTCTCTTTAGCGGAAGGAGACGGGGCAGCGGACTTGGGAGAAGATCCTTTGACTGGTATCTCCCTGGTTGAGGAATATGGCATCGGCTTGCGTGGAGCGAAGAGTGTCTCAGGCCCCTGCGGTTCGTCGACTGACTTCCTTGCCTTCTTAACTTCATGCTCTTCAGGCTCGGAAGGCGGATCATGAGTGAAGTGGCTGGCGTGCTCATGAGCAGGCTCCTCCGCTTCGGAAGGAAGCTCCTCGAAGGTAGCACCCTCGGGCAGCTTGACGTTGGCGAAGTAATCGCCCTCATCATTTCCAGCTTCCTCCAGAGGGAATGTGGAAGCGGAGAGAAGCTTGGGAGAGGGCCCATCCATGGGATACAGCTCCATGGGGGCATCCTCAATGAGACCAAGGCCAACCATGGTGGGAGATAGCGCAGTAGTAGCATAGTCGTACTCATCGAAGCCTCTGTTGATGGTGCCCTTGACGGCGGGGTGGACTTCAACGGTATCATCTCTCAGTTCCGGTTCATCGTCTTTTGTTGATGTTGTAAGAAGCTCATTCATGGCGGCCGCAGCGAGTGCTGTTGCTCCTGCTGCGGCGACGGTGGCTGCTGCTATCGACGTGGAAGTTGGAACTGGCGACCCACCAGCCGACCGACGAAGGTCCACATTGGTGTCTGCTTCGCGGCTGAGAATGTCAGCATGATGTCCGTCGCCAGTAGTAGTAGTGGTAGTTCGAGGTATGATGGGGGCATCATCTTCCGATCGCTCGATCGCAGCAGCCACTGGTTTTTCTTGGTTCGCTTGCTTACTTGTTGGAGCCTCCGTGAGTAGGCCGTTTTCCGAGGGTTCTGAATCGACGCCGTCAATAGAGTCAAGGTCATCATTGTCGAGCACCTCCCACTTCTGTGCCGGACTTGTCTTTGAAGTATCGTCCTGTTGTGTTAGTTCCTCAGCACCGGTTGCGGGTTGTTTGCCTTTACCCTCAACGGCATCGTAGAACAGGTCCGAGTCGAAACTTTGGCGGACGGGCTCCTCAATTGGTTCTGGGTCTGATTCGGTGGCAGGTGATGCCGGAAGCTCAACGTCTATGGGCAGAAGAACAGGCGAATGAGAGAGCTCGACGTCTTTGGGTGCAGTGACGGGCGAATCTACGGGAGCAGTGTGCTTGTCATGCTGCTCTTCGTCTTGCTCTTCTGGAACCTCAGAATGATCAATAGGCTCAACCAGAAGCTGCTCCTCTGCCTTTTCAACCACTGGAGAAAACGGAAGTTCCACATCTTGAGCAACAGCATCCTCAGCGGACGGCGAAACCGAACGCTCAACATGCGGAGGAACAATTTGACTTGAGTGGAATCGCTGAAGCTCATCAACGTCCAGTTCCTCCACAGGCGAGGCGGGGAGTTCGACTTCCTCCGCTCTGATCTTTGGCGAGCCGGAAGATGAAGCCGCAAGGTGAATGTTCCTGGGAATGATCTGGGCCGAATGCAGATGTTGGAGTTCGGTGATCTTGGACTCGTCGAAAGGTGATGGCGAGCGTGGCAGCTGAGTCTCTCCGGGCACATCCTCAGTAACAGGAGAAGCTGGGAGCTCGATATCCTCTGGAATGATCCGAAGGTCGGAGACTAGTTGATGCTCAGAGGTCTCCATTTCTTCGACAGGCGAAGGTGCTCGCGGGAGCTCAACGTCCTCAGGAACCTCGCCCCAAGTTCCATCTGCACGCTGAACGTACAGAGGAACCGACAGAGGAAGAATCTGAGCAGAGTGTTCATGCTGCATGTCAACGACGTCCAAGTCCTTCTCCACCGGTGAAGGTAAGCGAGGAACTTCGACCTCGACAGGTGCGATCTTCTCCAGAGGCGAAGTCGGAAGGTCAAGCTCGTCAAGAACCTCACCCCAAGTTGAATCCGCTCGCTGAACGTATAGAGGATGCATCTGGCTTGGATGCAATCTTTGGGTCTCAGAAACGTCCAGCTCACCAACGATCTTTGGCGACGTGGTAGTTTGGACATCGGACGCTTCAAACTCGTCAACAGGTGACGGTGTTCGCGGGAGCTCCAACACATCCTCAACAACAGCCTCGCCCCAGGTTGAATCTGCACGCTGAACGTACAGAGGAGCGAGCAGAGGAAGGCTCTGAGTAGGATGTTGATCTGGCGACACGGAGCGTTGTTGAAGATGGGGAGGAATCATCTGAGCAGAGTGTTCACGCTGCATCTCCATGACGTCCAGTTCCTTCTCCACTGGGGATGGGGATCCTGAAAGCTCAATTCTTTCAAGCGTGGACTTCTCCAATGGCAAAGCAGGAGAGGCTTCAACCTTCTCAGTAATATCCTCAGCTTCACCCCAAGTTGAATCTGCACGTTGGACGTACAGAGGGAGGGTTTGAGCCGAGTGTTGATGTTGCATCTGGACGATATCCAATTCTTTCTCCACTGGTGAAGGTGAAGGTGAAAGTGAGCGCGAAAGTTCAACCTCCTCATGCGTGAACTTCTCCAAAGGCGAAGCAGGGAGCTCAATATCTTCTGGAACAGCCTGGGCCTGGGCCTCGACTGTAGGCGACACGGAGCGTTGAAGATGGGGAGGAATGACTTGGGTCGAATGTTGATGTTGCATCTCGATGACATCTAATTCCTTCTTGACCGGTGAAGGTGAGCGTGAAAGTTCAACCTCCTCAGGCATGAGCTTCTCCAATGGCGACGCAGGGAGCTCAACATCTTCAGGAACAGCCTGGGATTGGGCTGTAGGCGAAACGAAGCGTTGAAGATGGGGAGGGATGATCTGAGTTGAATGCTGATGTTGAAGCTCGGTAATGTCAAAGTCCTCCACAGGTGGAGAGCGCTGAATGTCAAGCTCCTCGGGTGCGATCCTAGGCGAGGATGCAGTTGAAGTTGGAAGCTCGTTCTCAGTAGGAGCAGCATTTGGCGAAGCGGGGATCTGAACCTCTTCAGATACGATATCCTTTATAGACGAGGTGGGAAGCTCTGCATCTTCAGAAACTTCACCCCAAGTGGAATCTGCACGCTGAACGTACAGAGGAGGAATCTGGTTCGAGCTTTGAAGCTCGGTAACATCCACCTTAGGTACAGGCGAGAGTGAGCGCGAAAGCTCGACTTCCTCGTGTGTAGATTCAGCCAAAGGTAAAGTAGCAACCTCGGCCTTTTCGAGCACATTATGAGGCGAAACGGAGCGCTGAAGATTAGGCGGAACAATCTGGTGCGAATGCAAGTGCTGGAGTTCATCGACATCCAACCCAGTAGGCTCAGGCTCACCAGGCGAAGGTGATCTTGGGGCCTCGATATCCCCTGGCGCAACCTCAGTTATAGGAGAAGCAGGAAATTCGAGCTTTTCCGGAATAAGCTTGGGCTCTTCGGCAACAACTTGGGCATCTTCAGCAACTGCTGTAGGGGAAACTGAACGGTGAAGATTGGGCGGAATGATTTGCCGGGAGTGCAAGTGCTGGGCCTCATCGACGTCCAGACCAGCAGGCGATGGCGAGCGCGGGGCCTCGATATGCTCTGGTGTAACCTCAACCTCTTCATAAGCGAGCTCAGTCAAGGGAGAAGCAGGAAGCTCAATATCCTCCGCAATAGTCTCGGGCAAAGCCGGGGATTGTGTCTCTTCTGGAATAGGTGCAGGGGAAACTGAACGGTGAAGATTGGGCGGAATGATTTGCCGGGAGTGCATGTGCTGAAGCTCATCGACGTCTAACTCGGCAGACAATGGCGAGCGTGGGGCCTTAATATGCTCTGGCGTAGCCTCAATATCCTCTGGCGTGGCCTCGGTTACGGGAGAAGCAGGAAGTTCGACCTCTTCCGGAACAAGCCCGACCTCTTCGGCAATAGTATCAGGCGAAACCGCACGCTGAAGACCAGGCGGGATAATCTGCTGCGAATGCAAGTGCTGCATCTCATCGACATCAACATCAACATCCAAATCCTCCAAGTCCTCCACAGGTTCCACGTCCTCAACAGGCGAAGGCGAGCGCGGGAGTTCAACCTCCTCGGGAACGGGCACAATCTTAGGCGAAGGCTCAGCCTCGAAATCGTTGTCAGATTGTTCACCAACGCTTTGCTCATCCTGCTCAGTGGCCTGCTCAGCAGCTGTAGGGAGGTCCATCTCCTCGACTTCCGCTTTGGTCATATGCGATTCGGGCAAACCAGTGTCTCCGGACATGATTTTGGGTGAGTCTAGGACTTGGGTTTCGGGCGATCTGGGCAGTTCTTCAGACGCGGCGGGGGTGCTTTCTTCCACGGGCGAGGTTGGGAGTTCGATGTCCTCGGGCGCAATCTTTGGCCAGGATGAGTTTTCGTAGATTTTGTCAGATTGGTCGCCAAGGCTGCGGGTGACTTGGTGAGCGGGAGTTGGGAATTCGACGTGCTGAACTTCGACCTCGGGAGAGCTGGGCAGTTCTTCAGACGCGGTGGGAGTGCTTTCTTCCACAGGCGAAGTTGGGAGTTCGATGTCCGCGGGCGTAACCTTCGGGGAAGATGAGATTTCTTCGTGGATGTTGTCAGATTGATCGCCAAGGCTACGAGTGACTTCGTGAGCGGGAGTGGGGAACTCCACGTGCTGGACTTCAACCTCGGGCGACATGGGGAGTTCCACGTCTTGGGGAGAGATCTTTGGTGAAGTGGAAGTCGAAACCTCGGTGCCAGTAGGAATCCCAGTGGTAGGTGGATGTTCGAATTCGTTAGACTCAGTCTCGACAGGTGACTGCGGCAGCTCAATATCTTCAGGCAACTGAGCGGCAGTGGCAGTAATCGGGAGCTCCATTTCTTCATATTCGGCCTCAGGCAACAGCGGGTTTGGCAATCCCATATCTTCGGATGGAATCTTGGGAGAAACAGGGTGTTGCACTGTGGACGAAGGCGCAATCTTAACGGTCTCGACCTCAGGTGCAGGCGAAAGGACCGCGTCCCTTGGGATGCTCTTATCGGAAGACGGAAGCTCGGCGTTCTCAGAGGCGATATTCTGCTCGGTAGGAGTAGCTGGGAGCTCAATATCCGCGGGTGTAATCTGGGGCGACGATACCGACTCCTCCTCAGGTGCAGGATAGACGGCCCTTTCCTCAAGGGCATCCTTAGTTGAAGGAACCGAGCGTTCAACAGGTGAAGAAGGCGTGAAGTCCATTGCCGCCTCAAGTGCGGGGGACAGGACTGCGTCCTCGGGTGTACTCTTTGGTGAAGGGGACGAAGCAGGGAACTTGGGCGACTCGATAGTTTCCGCCGCAAACTCCTCCTCCAGGGGAGAAGCAGGGAGTTCCACTTCCGCTGGTGAGATTCTTGGCGACCATGCGAGCGAAGAAGAACGCGAAAGTTCTACGTCTTCAGCTAGCTCAACAGTGGGCGATGAGGCTTCAGGATACTCCTGCTGGATTTCCCTATGCTCAACAGTACCCTCGGGCGAAGAAGCGTATCCATCCTGGGGATCATCACTGAAGCTCCGTTCGTATTGCTCAACATCAACCGGTGACCCTTCGTCGTCATCATCCACAAACTCATCCCCAGGTGAGAGCGGCAGGCCCTCGTCGTCAGAGATAGGCTCAGGCGAGAACTGGTAGCCGGGTACAATATTAGGCGAAGGCAAGAGTTGAGGATGCTGCGGAGAAGGCGGAAGCTCGGTGTTTTCGAGCCTGACCTTGGGCGACGTGGGGGTTGAGATTATAATGTTGGCGGTCTCGTGTGACTCGGTCGTGATTGGAAAGTCCTTATCTTGATTATCGGTTTTCGGCTCAGGAGAGGGCGAAAGTATAAGCTCGGGGGAGGTTGGGAGCTCTACATCCTTAGGGGCCACCATAGGCGAGGAGTGCGAAGATGGGAGTTCTGCATCCTTGGGAAGTTCGGTGAATGATGGGGACTCGGCTCTTTGAATCCCAGCTTCAGGAGAAGGAGAACGCGAAGGTTCATGAGAATCGGAGAGGTCTGCTAATTCATCGGCGAGTGTCTTCTGCGCTGGCGAGGATGGGAGTTCTTCAGAGTCTCTGGGGAATTCAGCGAAGGATGGAAGCTCGGCGCGTTGGGCGTCGACAGAGGGAGAGGGAAAACGTGAAGCCTCATGGGAGTCAGAATCAGAAAGGCCATCCAATTCGTCGGCTAGTGTTCTCTGCTTTGACAATGACGGGAGATCCTCTACTTCAGAAAGCTCAGGCTCAATGGCAGCAGTTGGGATCACTGCATCATAAGCCTCAACCGCGGGAGAATGAGAAACCAGGCGCTCAGTGGAAGTCGGAAGCTCTACGTTTGGAAGAACCATAACAGGCGCAGCTGACCAGGTCGAGGTTGTAGTATCTTGAAGGAGCTCGGTAATAATTTGAAGTTGCTCCTCTAGAGGCTCAACATCAGAAGGCGAGGACTGTAGTCCCACGTCCTCTGATCTGATCTCGGCCAATGTTGGCATGTCCAGGGAGCTTGGGACAGCCATTAGAATTGGGGGCTCTGAGGCAGGTTGAGCATCGGCAGTGACCTTGGGCGATTGATGAAGTTCGTTATGCGAAGGAAGTTCTCCATGAGAAGATAGGTCGACGATAGGTGTGGATTCAGCCTCAGGGGCAGCCGCGTTAAGCTCCACTTCCTCAGGGGAGTCAGGGGTAACCTTCGGTGAGGGCGGGAGTTGGATCTCAGTGGGTCTTATCTCGGAAATAGGGTGCTGGTGCTGGTCAAGGCTTAGTTCAGATGAGCGAGCGTCGACATGCTCATGTTGTTTAGCCTCATGTACGGGCTGCTTGGTGTCGCCGTCAATGTCTTGAGTGAGTTGGCGATGAGGCTCATCGACAGCAGGGGAAGCCGGCAACTCCACCTCCTCCGGCCTGGGCACAGCAGTGACAGTGTGCGCGTGCGGCGCCGGTGAGTGAGGAGATGGAGGGAGCTCCACTTCTTCAGGCTCAGTCATTCTAAATGAAGAAGGGGAAGAAGAAGAACGAGCAGCCGCGCGTTGTGACGGGGCATGCTCGTCGTGGGTGGCTTCAATAGCTTCGGTAGTAGCCTCGGAAGCGGTAGAGGTAGTGACAGCAACAGCAACAGCAACAGCAACAGCAACAGCAGCGGTTGTAGTGGCGGTAGTGGCAGTGGCAGCGATAGGGGTAGCAATAGCAGTTGGAATAAGGTTAGGAGAGGAAGGAAGTGGGGGAAGGTCTTCTGAGGGTAATGGAAGCTCTTCTTCAGAAGCACCAGACATGGAAGAGCGGGAAGAACAGCAAGGAAGTGGGGGAGAGGAAAGGTTAGCCTCAGAAGTTGGCACCAGTCCCAAGGCTTCGGGTACCTGAGAATCCTGAGCCTCAGGCGTGAAAAGTGGGATGTCTGATTGCTGCCCAATGAACGGTTTGTTTTCCTGCAGGATTTGGATTAGCACAAGAGATTTCAAAGCATCCGATTGGTAAACGGGGGAAAAGAGGTGGGACTGGGATTTCTTACCTTGTCAAGAGCCAGGTCACGGTCAGCGGTGGCCGGTGAAGGCGGCTCCACGATCTGCTTGGCTTGTTCAACCACCGGCTCGGTATCGGTGAGATGCCCTGCATCTGATAGGGTTGAAGGAGGCGCCGGAAGCTCGACGTCTTTAGGGTTCATTATGAAGGAAGACAGGGTTTCTGCATCCCTGAAGGATTGCTGGTTGAAGCTCTGCTCAATTGTCTCATTTTTGTCTTCGGCGAGTTCACCAGCATCAGACAAAGCTGAGAGTGGAGGAGAGGCGGGAAGTTGAACAGCTTCAGGATTGACTGCATATGATGATGATGATGATGGAAGCTCTATGTCGTTTTGAAATTGCTGACTTAATATCTGTTCAATTGGCGCAATCTCGGCTTCCGTAAGCTTCTCGGTCTCAGACATAGCCGAAGGTGAAGGTGGGAGTTCGATCTCTTGAGGGTTGAGTGAAGAGAGTAGCTCGTTGTCTTTCTTAAGCTGCTGGTCGAATTCCCGCTCAGTTGGCTCCATAGCGGCTTCAGTAGGTCCCCCAGCATCAGAGAGAACTGTAGGAGAAGGTGGAAGCTCTACCTGTTCAGGATTGCTGTCCTCTGGCGTAGCCTCAATGTCCTCTGACGTAGACTGTAGCTCAACCTCCTCAGGGCTCACCGTGACCTCCTCAACACCAGTCTTCATTTCTTCAACCTCCAGTGGCCTCTTCACCCCAAAACTTCCAACTCCATCCTCAAGCTCTCCACCCCCACCCTATCATTCCCATTCCCAGTTCCAGTCCGGGTTCCAGTCTTGAACAAGAACGAGGGATCTTCTAAACCCCCCTGTCCTTCTCCTTCTCCTTCTTCTTCCCAAACATTCCTCCCATGCCCATCTTTCCCATCCCCTTGGTCCCCATCAACGCGCGATTCCAGTTCGCTTTCGCGCTGGAGCTCATCACCTTCTTCTTCTCTCCTCCCATCATCATCTCTCCCGCCTCCGCGCTGTCGTTCCAATCCTTGCGACTGCCAATACTCATGGCCGTCTTGGTCCGTGACAACATCCCCGGCTTGGGTTGATTCATCATTGATGCCGTCTCCAGATCCTTCTGTCTCTCTAACGGTGTCTCTGGGTTCATGCTTGGAAACCCGTAAGACGTCGGAGGTGCCGATGTCGACCCGATTGGCGGGGGAGAAAGACCCGATGAGGTTCCCGGTGGGGATCCCAGTAGGGAATCGCCCAGTCCAAAGCTGGGAAGTTCCAACTTCGGCATCGCGGGCGGCTGTTGCACCGTTGGCGGCTGCGGCTGGGTCTGAGAGCCATGCTCGACGCTCTGTCTCCGACTGCTCGATGATCGACTGCTGCTCGCCATTCCCAGTGTGACCACGCTCTTGAAGGACATCTTTGACTTTTCCTTCTTGCTGTCTGTCACCGTGGTGGCCGTCTGATTTGACTGATGGCTGTGATGCGAGTGCGAGTCCGTCACGTCCGTCGGTTCCGTCAGGTTGGTACTGGTCGTTGTCTCCGGGTAACTCGACGCTGGACGTTCCTGGGAGACGCTGTTCCTGCTCGTCGGAATGCTCAGAGCAGACATCGCTCTTCCCATTCTCGTCTGCGGCTTGCTCGGCTTGCCCTCTAGCACCGGGTTCTCGGGGAACTGGTTGCTGTTCCAGCTCGTCGGTCTCGACCCGTTCGAATGTGCGCTTGCCGAGGATTCCATAGGCGTCTGCGTCGCTGTCTCCGGCTCGTGGTGACTGGGCGTCGGAGTCTTCTCGCTCTTGTCCTTGATCAACCCCAGCGTCATGACCTTGTTGAAGCTGGCCATTCTCGACTTGGGCGCCGGGCTGGGATCCGGTCTCACCGCGAACTGCGGTTGCTGTGGCGGCTGCATTGACGAACCAGTTCCCGGTCTCGAGTCCGCGTCCAGGGGAGAAGTCTCTTGGCTTATACTCTTCCTTGGCCTGGACAGACTCATCCCTGAGATCGTCCGATCCAACCTGCTGGGCTTGGCAGCCGTGGTTTGATGCGACCCCGACGAACCGGGTCTGCTCGTCTCCGGCGGTGTCTCCACCAACTCCGGGTTCTTGTCCTTCTTTGTAAAGGCGCCCAACCCGAGCATCTTCATCGTCTTGTTGGTCTTGCTCTTTTCCGATGACTGCTGCTGTTGTTGATGGTGATGGATCGAGCTTGATCCAGACCCCGACCCAGATCCCGGTCTCGATGGCTCCAGTAGGTCTTGTTCGGGCGTGCTGTTGAACCCCGAATCCGGAGTCTGCGTACCCACGCCCGTTGGTGTCGCGTGAGACCTTGACATCATACCGAACGTCAGCCGGTCGAGCGTCTTGTGCTTTTCCTTCTCGAGCACCGGTTCCGATTCGCGGCGATCCGTCATCTCCGGTCGTGAGGCGGCTGGGTTCATGCCCGTCAACGCTCGCTTCATCATTCCCGGCTTTTGATGTAGGTGCGGATCCGGCAACACTTCGGCCCTCACCGCTGGGCTCTCGTGCGGACTGATCTCCGCGCTGTCCGTCTCCCGTGGACCCAGATCGATGCTCGGTCCCCGACTGGTCGGCTCCCGTGTCCTCGATGCTTCCCTGGAGGACTTGCCGCCCATGCTGAAGTTCTTGAACGCGGAGCCCATGCTCATCTTGCGTTCGCCCGAGTGTTCTGCCGTCGAGTCCATGCTCGACCGTGGTTTCGCCGCTCCCGGAATCATTCCCGACACGGCTCTCTTCATCATGCTCGGCCTGGCTCCGGAAATCGACTCCGTCTCGGACTGATCCAGGCTCGCTCGTGGCTTCGACGTGGTAGGAATCATGCCCGAAAATGCTCTCTTCATCATAGCCGACCCCTTCGGCTGGGTAATTGACGCCGTCTCCATATTGATTGACTCCGCGTCCGTGGCCGTGGCAGGTCTGCGATCCGTCTCGCCTCCCACTGACGACGACCTCGGCTTCCTGAAGTCCAGCTTGTCCAGACTCATACCCGTCATGGCGCGGTTCAGCATCCCCGGTTTCGGTCCAGGCGACGACGCTCCGTCCTCCAGCTCCGAGTCCTCGAACTCCGTCTCGGGGATCTGTTCCAGGCTGGGCGCGCCCCTGGTCCTCGACAAGCCGCTCATCGCTCTGCGCACCTTGCTCTTGACCGGCTTGCTGGCCGACGGGGGATACTTTTTCGAGTCCGGCGGTCCGTCCTCGGAGCCCGGGACTTCCTCGTCCCCGTCCTTGCTGAAGCTGTTCCGCGGGCTGGGCTCCGGGCTGCTCGTCTGCGTGCTCATTTCCTTGGGGCCGCTCGATGACGACTTGCCGCCCAAGAGCGAGTTCAACCCCAGCTTCGGAATCCCGAGATTCATCTTTGATGACGTTGTTGACGTTGTCGATTGCGAAGAGCTCTTGAAGTTGAGTGCGTTCGTTGTCAGCTGCGGTAACGTCACGAATTTGGGGGGAGTGGTTGTTGCCAGTCTGCTCATCTTCCTCCCTTGGAGTAGTCTTGAGGTGGACTGCATGTGGATCGAGCTCAGAGGTTGGATCTTCGCCTACTTGTTGTTGATGCTTGTCTTTGGCCTTGTCGCCCTTTTCGCCGCCCTTGTCTGACTTGGACTTGCTGCCGCGTCGGTAAGGCACGCCCATGAAGCGCTTTGCCTTGGTCGTCTCGTCCGCTGCTACCGTCTCGTTGTTGTCGTCGCCGAGTTCCTCGTCTTCGTCGTGGATCGAGAAGCCGTCGCTGTCGTAGAGAGTCTCGCCATCGCCACCACCTCCGGAGGATGTCCTGCGAATCTTGGGGTTACCCTTAGTAACACTAGAGCTTCGCCTGCTGCGACTTTGAGTGTCCGGGTCCACCGAGGGACTTCTGGTCTTTTCAACAACTAGTTGCTGAACCAAATCGGTAAGCTGAGCCAGCTGGGCCGTGAGCTGAGCAACCTCAGGGTTCGGCTCCAGAGGTGGGCTCATGAGACCGGAAGGAGTTTGAGATCCCTTCTTCTTGTTCTTCTTCCTCTTCTTCTTGCCCAACGCATCGCCGGCAGCGCCAGCATTAGCGTCTTGCGCATTGCCAGAAGAGGGCTCCTCATCGCCATCCGAGGCCTCCTGGCCCTCGGCATCCTCAGCATTAGCGGCAGGGGAGGAATCCGTGGCTTTGCCCTTGCCCTTCCGTGTTCTCTTGTTCTTCTTGGTCTTCGTGCCGGGCGCACTTCCGGAGGGTTGAGTGTCCAAGTCACCCTGTTCGGCTTCAGAATTATGAATATTGGCGTCCTCTTCCTTATCGGTAGGGACAGCAAGAGACGAGCTTCTTCTCTTGCGGCCCTTCTTGCCAGAAGCCTTGATAGTACCACCAAGCTCCTTGTTGGTTACCGAGGAAGGAGTGGCAGTGTCGGAGCCAACATCAGGAATGGGTTTCGAAGGAACCTCAGGGATGGGTTCAGGGGGAGGGATGTCCTTGGGTCCACCGTCCTGTAAAACACCAACAGAGTCAGCAGAATCATCACCAGTCATTCCTCCACATTCACGCACCTCAATGTACTGCCCAAGCGGCGTCGGCGTCCTATACCCAGACCGACCTCTAATCGGGCTCGGCGACGCCCTGCCATGTAACTCAGGCCACATGCTCGGATGGCCAGACTCCTGAGGCATTGTGGCCTCTTCATCAAAGTCCTCCGGCCAGGCATCAGGCCAATCGGACTTCCTGCTCTTCTTCTTCTCAGCAGCCGGCTTCTTTTTCTTCTCAGCCCTATCGGTGCTAGCCCTCTTGAGCGCATACGCCGGCCTCTCCTCTCCGATGGAACCAGTCTCTACGGCCACGGAGGAGGTAGAGCCAAGGACACTGTTATGCGTAGAAGATGTCGGTGAGTTGGCAACGTTGTCAAAGGTAGACCTGCGTTGCAAGAAAAGCGCTCGCTCGAGTTTTTCTTTCTCAGCGATCTTGGCTGAGCGCTCTGCTTCTCTGGTTGTCGCACTAACAGTTCTCATGCGTCGTTCCAAGTCTGGAGCCGAGAAGGGATCAGCGGCTTCAAGGGCCTTGTCCAAGCTCAGAGCGGGAGGGCTGGCGATGCCCCAGCCTGCACCCATGGTAGGTGAAGCTGGGTTGGACATCTTTCCAGCCTTGATCTTTTCCTTCTTGGCAGTTGACCGTCTCAAAAGTCTTGGAGTGAACGTCTCTGATGTCGGCGAGGCAAGATCTGGCGATACTGTAGCTGGTTGCTCCTCTGTCTTTGGCTCCTCCTGGGATTTTTCCTTATCGTCGGTCTGGGATTCACCTTGCTTTCCATCGGCAGTGGTGGCCTCCTCTTGTTTGGCCGTGGGGGTCTCTGTCTCCGGTTCCGGTTCGCGCTCAATGGCATTAGTTGTAGTAGTCGCATCCTCGTCCTCTTGACTGGCAGTTTCCGTGGGTTCAGGCTCAGTAGTATCTTGACGGTCCGGCAGGGGGGTAAGCGATTCGCTCGGGAGATGTCTGCTTTCTGCTGCTGAATCCAAAGAATCCTGTATTTGGGGGTTTGTGTCAAGGCCAGTTGCTTCAGGTAAAGCTTCATCAGTAGCAGTAGGAGTAGGTGGCTGGGGTCCAACATCAGTAGGGGAGAGGTCGCCGCTCTTGGGGAGAGGGGTTTCCTCAGGGAGGAGGGTGGTGGTGGTAGTGGTGGTGGTGTTTTCATTGTCCGTGGTGGACTCCTTGGGGGCCGGGGCTTCTTCTTCTGCTTCAAAACCAAATGTCAACAGAGCTATTCCTCACCTCTAGGTAACAACATGCTTTGCATACTTGATTCGCTCTCCGGAGCTGTCTTCTTCTCACTTGGAACGGTGTCGCTCTTTACCACTGGCCAGGTGCTATGTCGGTCGAGTCCGGGTCCGTCTGTGGGGTTTGCTGTGTCAGAAATGGTTGGTTCCTCGAAGATGCTAGCAGCAGCGCTCTTGTTCTTCTTCTTCTTTTCTTCTTACTCTTCTTTGGCTTGCTTGTGGGTGCCGCCTCTGGTTCGACGGCCTCCTTGGTCTCGGGTTCAGCTTCCAGCTCCGGTTCTTTGGGCTCTTCGACTTCAGGTGCTAGTGTTGTCTCCAGATCAGCTTGTGTTGTTGGTAATGGCGCCTCAGGCTCCGCGTTTTCTGGCTCCAGCTCAACGGCTTTGCCCTTCCCCTTATTCTTCTTCTTCTTTTTCTTCTTCTTACCCTTCTTTTCGATTGATTCGGGCTCTTTGGTAGGAAGTGTCTCTTGCGCTGGCTCCGGCTCAGTTTCCGTGGGTTTCTCCGGTTCAGGCACGGTCTGCGACTCATCAGCACCCTCAACCTCCTCACTCTTCTCCTTCTCATCCTCCTTCTCATCAACCTTCACATCCTCCAACCGTCTCTCCAACTCCTCTCCCAACAAATCCTGTTTCTGCTCCTCCTCAAGCATCTCCCTCTCATCACTAGAATAATAATCCCTCTCGTCCTGCACCGGCACATCCGACGGGTGAGGGTTCGGCTCCGAATTGCTCCTAAAATTCCTACCCAAGAAAGCCGTAACACCAGGGAACGTCGGCAATCTAGTAAGCGAGTACCGCTTCATATTAGTACCGCCTGGGGAGTATTCGCTGACATCGTCATCTTCATCATCCAGGTCGTCCAGGTCGCCAAGAGTACCCCACTGGTCGTCAGGGCTTGATACTCTCTTTGGCCGGGGCTGTCGCTCAGGCTCAGCGACCAGACCGCCTCCGAGGATGGAGCCGGGCTGGGGCTGGGGTTCACCGCTGGACTCCTCCTCCTGATTCGATGCAGACTCAGTGCGCTTGTCTTCGTCGGTCAAAGCCTTGGAAGGTTCCTCTTCTTGTTCTTCTTGGGCTTCTTCGGTACCAGGAATATTCTCGAGCTCATCGTTGACCGCTTCGAGATTGGCTACCCTGGAGCTTGGGCCCGGAATGCCGATCCTAAGCTCTTGGCGAGGGGTGCTTTGGTCGTCAGATGCGATGTCTTCATCGGTAGGTGCGTCTTCGAGGACGGTGGGCTTTTCAGAAGCAGGAGGAGTGGGCTCGGACTCGGAAGCCTCTGGAGACACGAATGATACTCCCTTGGACTTCTTGATCTGCTGAGACAATTGGTTAGCAATCTGTAACATCGAACTCGTGTACATCGGGAACTGTACCTCTTCAGTGGCCTCCACCGCCTCCTCAATCTCCTGTGGGACTTGTTCCTCCTCATCCTCGTACTGCGAGGAAGGTCCAGGCACAACCTCCTCAGGCTCCTCCTCATACGTCTGTCCTTGCTTCATCGCCGCATCCCTCTTCTTCAAATACTGCAACACCCTGAAGGAGCTTTCCGGGCTCAAGCTAGAAGTAGCCTCGGAGTCGCCCGCAAGGGCTTTGGCAATCTGCTCCTTTTGTTCCGCATTTGCGCCGGACAAAAAGCTGGGGGCGTCTGATGCAGCCACCGTAGAAGCGTCATCCTCGCACATGTCCTCGTAGATGGTCTCGGCCAGCTTGTAGTCAATCTCGTTGGGGTCGTTGTTGTCGTCGTTGCCGATAAGCATCGGGGACTTGGCTTGGTTATGGGAGGATGGCTTTTCGTAGATATCGCCTGGGTGGGCAGCTTCGGAAGAGTTGCGGCGGACGTGGCCTACGATGATCTCGTTAGACGTAGGGATGGCTTCTTCTGTACAATCGATATTAGCTTTGTTCAAATCTCCATCGATCTTGGCTTCCGTACCTTGCGTCTCGCCCTCATTCCACGATTGACCAGGGGCAACCTGCTTGGCAAGCGACTCCGTATCTGGTTGGGTACCAAGCACAGGCAATGGTGACTTGGGCTCGGGCGAATCTTCTCTGCTCTCTGGCAATGGCGGGAGTTCTGACGGGTCCTCGAGGCTAGGCGCCGTCTCGATGTCCTCAGAACGGCTGCTGGATCTGCTCTCAGGAAGGGCTGGCAGGTCAGAGAGCGGCGTGTCGCTTCTGCTTTCCGGTAGAGCGGGCAGTTGCGACAAGTCGTCCTTGGAAACTTCGATGGCCCTGTCAATTGGGCGAATTCCTCGTCGACGATGTCGGAGAACTGAGTAGGTTGCGTCTCTTCCCAGGCAGGCTGTGTAAATACCTCCTCAAGTAGCTGGCTGGTCTGTGTCTCCTCTTCGGGGAAGTTGTCAACGGCAGGAGAGTCTGGCAAGGCAGGAAGGATATCGAGGTCTTCGTCAACGGGAAGTGCGGGCAACTTGGAGAGGTCTTCAGCAACCTCTGGGACATTCTTAACAGCCTCTTCAACGACGGGAGATTCAGGTGCGGCAACTGGCATTGCAGCCTCTTGATCAGGAGTGCTACCCCGGCTCTCCGGCAGTTCAGGCAGAAGATCCAAGTCTTCGTCAGCCGGAAGAGGAAGAACCTCTGGTGAGATAGCCTTGGGCAAAGAAATAGGCTGAGGCTCAGGAGACTCATTTCTGCTTTCAGGAAGTGCAGGAAGGATATCGAGGTCCTCATCGATTGGCAGAGCTGGCAACTTGGACAAGTCGGCTTGCTCGGGAACGCTGGCAGGCACGGAAGCCTCTGGCTCAGGCGACTCATTCCTGCTCTCCGGAAGCACAGGCAAGAGTTCAAGATCTTCATCCACGGGCAAGGCGGGAAGCCCAGAAAGGGCAAGCTGCTTTGAGGTGTCTTCTTCAGCTTGTAGCACCTCCTGGTCCTCGACTGGCAAAGAAACAGCCAAATCGGGTGAGCTATCACGGCTTGCGGGAAGTTCTGGCAAGAGATCAAGATCTTCATCGGCCGGCAGGCTTGGTAGTTCGGAGAGTGCTGGAGTGGTTGGCTCTTGGGGCTGGACGAGATCGATATCCTTGGCGACGTTGTCGATGGTGGGCTGCTCTTGCTCAATCTCAGGGGTGGCAACCGGGAGCTCGTAGCCTGGGGAACTGCTCCTGCTTTCGGGAAGTTGAGGTAGAAGATCGAGGTCCTCGTCAGTAGGAAGAGGTAGTTGCTCAGGTTGATAGACAGTCTTCTCGGCAGTCTCTTCGGTTTCTGGCACAGCAACCTGGAGCTCATACCCAGGCGAACTGCTTCTGCTCTCGGGAAGTTGAGGCAGGAAATCCAAGTCCTCATCAGTAGGCAGAGAAACTGACTCAGGCAGCTTACGCTCAAGATCCGGAACATTGATAGCTTTCTTGGCCTCCTCGATAACAGCCTGTTCGACCTTCGGTGCTGAGGGCTGTGCGGTAGGCGAGTCACTGCGGCTTTGAGGCAGCTCGGGTAGTAGATCCAAATCCTCATCAGTGAGCAGAGGAAGTGACTCAGGCAGGTTACCCTCAGGAGCAGAAGCATCAACAGCCTTCTCAATCTGAGGTGCAGAGGGCTGCACAAGCTCAGGTGATTCACCTCTACTCTCAGGAAGCTCAGGCAGAAGATCGAGGTCCTCGTCAACAGGCAGAGAGACCGACTCTGGAACTGGTAGACTGCGCTCAACAGCCGGGCTATCAACAGCCTTCTCGACCTCTTCGGGAATAGTCTCTTCAACCTTCGGCGTCGACGGCTGAGCAATTTCAGGGGACTCACTCCGGCTATCAGGTAGGGCAGGTAAGAGATCAAGATTCTCATCAGCCGGTAGTTGAGGCAGGGTATCCAGCGGCAACTCGGTCGCAACAACCCCAACCGGCAGCTTCGACGGGACTTCCTCGACAGTCTCTTGGTCAGATGAATCAGGGAAGTACTCCTCAAGATCCCGCATAGGCGGCTCAACACCAAGGGCAGGCATCGCCGCAACTGGCGAAGCGTATCCCAATCCCTCGGGGCTTCCGGGTAAAGAAGGTAAGGCCCAAAGACCGTCGTCAGATGGCAGGCGGACAGTTTCAGGGTTGACGGAGATGGGCAGCTCGGAAATCTCTTCGATGGCCTTGACGAGTGGGGAGACCTCGTCAGTCGGGAAAGTGGCAGTGACAGGCGAGGTGTATCCCGAGCCGGCACGGCTCTGAGGCAGGGAAGGCAAAGCCCAGAGACCGTCGTCAGATTCAGCTGGAAGTGGCACGAACTCGGCCTGGGGGGTGGTGATTGACAAGACATCCTCCGAGGCCTTGGAAGGCTGCTGGATCTCTTCAATGACTGGAATATCCTTGGGCTGGGCCACAGGCGTTGCAAAATCTCTTGATACAGGTGAGCTGGGGCCACTATCGGGAAGGGCAGGAAGCAGGTCCAGATCTTGATCCCTAGGGAGAGGCAGAAGCTCGGGGTTGACTTCTGAAATAACCTTGGAATTGTCCTCGGGAACAGCTTCAAGAGTTTCTGCGGGAGAAGAAACCGGGAAAGCAAACTCCTTAGTAGGCGAGCTGGGGCCACTCTCGGGCAGAACAGGAAGAAGATCCAAATCTTGAGCCTTGGGAAGAGGCAGAAGTTCAGGGATAACTTCACTTGGAAGAGCCTTGGGAATCTCCTCGGAGACAGCCTCAGGAACAGATTCAGGGGTTTCGGCTGAAGAAGAAACAGGGAAGGCGAACCCCTTAGTTGGCGAGGCAGGAGCACTTTCAGGCAGAGCCGGTAGGAGGTCCAAGTCCTGGTCGATGGGTAGAGGCATGAGCACAGGAATAACATCAGTGGCAGGTTCCTTCTCAACGACCGCTTCAATGACTGGCGAGGTAGCAAGAGAAGCATGTCCCTTGGTAGGCGAAGCAGGAGCACTTTCAGGCAGAGCCGGGAGGAGGTCCAAGTCCTCGTTGACCGGAAGTGGTAGAAGCTCAGGGACAACTTCAACATCAGCAATGGTCTCAACAACAGGCTCCTTTTCGACAACGGGCTCAACAACTGCTTCGATGACCGGAGAAGTAGCAAGCGAAGCGTGTTCCTTGGTAGGCGACGCTGGGACACTCTCAGGCAGAGCAGGAAGAAGATCCAAGTCTTGATCAATTGGGAGCGGTAGACGCTCAGGGACGACTTCAGGGGCAGCCTCGACAATGGGTTCCTTCTCAATGACCGCTTCAACGACGGGCGAGGTGGCAATCGAAGCATACTCTTTGGTAGGCGAAGCCGGAATACTCTCAGGAAGAGCAGGTAAAAGATCCAAATCTTCGTCAACGGGCAATGAGACGGCCTCGGGCTCAGGAATTACTTCACGCGTAACCTCGGAGGTGGCCTCGGGAACTGGCTCCTTCTCGAGTACGGGGGCCACTGGGGAAGCAGAACGGGGGAAGTGTTCCTTGGTAGGAGAGGCTGGACCGCTCTCAGGTAGAGCAGGTAGGAGGTCCAAATCTTCGTCAACAGGTAATGAAACTGTCTCGGGCTTGGGTAGTAGTTCCTTAGCGACCTCATCGTCAAGGGTGAGGATAGGTGCAGCCTCGGTCTCGATCTCCTTGAGAAGTGCAGGAGAAGCGACCGGCGAAGTAGTATGAGAAGTATGCTCTTTGGTGGGCGAGGCTAGACCACTCTCAGGAAGAGCGGGAAGGAGATCAAGATCTTCGTCAACCGGCAAGCAGACGGTTTCCGGTGCAGGCTTGAAGACAGGAGCAACGACAGGCGAAGTAGCAAGAGAAGCATGCTCCTTGGTAGGTGAAGCAGGTCCACTCTCCGGCAGCGAAGGCAGCAGATCCAAATCATCATCAACCGGCAATGAAATCGTCTCCGGCTCAGGTTCGAGCATTGTAGCCTCCTTGGACACCTCCAACTCACGGCTGACATCCGGAACAGGCTTAGTCCCGTTATCAATCTCCCTCTCAACGGCAGGAGCGATAACCGGCGATGTAGCAAGAGAGGAGTATTCCTTCGTAGGCGAAGCCGGGCCGCTTTCAGGAAGCGCGGGAAGCAGATCCAAGTCTTCGTCAACAGGTAGCGCTACTGTCTCAGCCTCAGGCTCGGGGACAGGGACTATGACAGGCGAGGCGGCCTTCTCGAGAACGGGAGAAGTGCTTCTTTCTGGGGAAGTATTGTCACTTGCGGGAAGTGCGGGCAGGAGATCGAGATCATCATCAGCTGGGAGTGTGATAGTCTCGGGGGCAACCGGGATCTCCTTGGGCGCATCTGCAACTTCAGGGGCCAGATTAGGTAAAGTTGGCATGGTCGCGGGCGTCCGAGAGGTAGCGATGCTGTCTGGCAAAGCAGGAAGGAGATCAAGATCCTCATCAACAGGTAATTTGATGCTTTCCGGAACGGGGACCTCACGCTCAACGGTCTTTGGCGTCTCCTCAGCTACTTCCTCATCAAAAGGCAGGTTTGGCATGGTCTCTGTTATCGGAGAGGTAGCAAGACTATCCGGCAAGGCAGGCAAAAGATCGAGGTCTTTATCGACCGGGAGCTTGACAGTCTCAGGAGCCGGAGCGATAGTAACCGGGAGTTCAATCGTCTGCGGCCTCTCGATAGTCTTTGGAGTCTCTTCTTCTTCAGGAGCCGAGACGGGGATAGAAGGCATGGTCTCAATTGCAGGAGAATCAGGCAGTTCCGGAAGAAGATCCAAGTCCTCATCAACAGGAAGCTTGATATCCTCTGGGAGCTTGACAGCTTGTGGAGCTGGTAGAATGTCCTCCGTGGGAGATGCGAAAGCCTCATCCTCAGACTCACCAACGGAAACAAGGGAGGCTGGTTCACGAAGAGTAGGTGAAGTACAACCACTGTCCGGTAGAGCTGGGAGAAGATCCAAATCCTCGTCAATGGGGAGCTTGACGGTCTCTGGAGAAGGAAGGCGAATTTCCCTCTCAACTGGAGCGGGAGTCTCAATAGCCTTGAGAGCCTCAACAACTTCAGGCTCAGCAACCGGGACCGCTTCGACAACTTCTGGCGTAACCGCTGGTATTGAAATAGGCACAGCAGACTCAATTGTCGGAGACTCAGGCAAAGCCGGTAGCAAATCCAGATCTTCATCAACAGGAAGCTTGACGGTCTCTGGAGAAGGAAGGTGAAGTTCCCTCTCAGCCGGGACCACCTCAATAACCTCTGGAGTGACTGCCGGCAAAGAAGCAGGCACAGCGGCCTCGGTGATAGGAGACTCAGGCAAAGCGGGAAGGAGATCGAGGTCTTCGTCAACAGGGAGCTTGACTTCCTCAGGAGCAGGAAGAGTTCCTTCAGCAGGAACCGTGACCGGCAAAACCGCCACGGGCACAGCAGTTTCGAATGTCGGGGACTCAGGCAAAGCCGGCAACAAATCCAGATCTTCATCAACCGGAAGTTTGACAGTCCCCAGAGCAGGGAGAGTCCTCTCAGCAGGAGCCGGGCTAGGGACTTCGACTTCGACCTGGTTGAGGACTTCGTCGACGGGAACATCCCTGGAGAGATCCGCGGGGGCGATGATAGGTGAACCAGCGTCACTCTCTGGAAGAGCTGGGAGGAGATCAAGGTCTTCGTCAACCGGCAGCTTGACAGTCTCCGGTGCCGTGACGGGAAGAGCTCTCAAAACAACCTCCGGCGCAGGGAGAGCCGCCTCAACAGCCGCCTCAGTCTCAGGTTCAGTGGTAGGAAGATCCACCTCCACAGGCTTCAAAACCTCCTCCTCATCCTCACTTGGCACATCCATATTCCTTCCAAGGTTCTCAATTTGGGGCGCAACAAGAGGCGAACCAGCATCACTTCCCGACACACTTCCCGGCACACTCTCCGGCAGCGCAGGCAACAAATCCAAATCATCATCATCCGGCAGCTCGAAACTCTCCGGGGGAGGAAGTGCCTCATCAGTATCAGTAGCAATAACCCGAGCCGGCGCCGACCCAGACACAGCAGCATTGCGTTCAACAAGATACAGAGGCTTCATCTCCCTCATTGAACTTTCCCAGCTACTGGGTCTCGGCCTGCTTCTGACTGGGGAAGTCCCACCGGAGACACCAGCAGGGTCACCATGGGCACTAGACGGCCTCGAAACAGGCGATTGACCCCAAGCTTCAGGAGGAGGAAGGGAGTGAACCGATCCTGATCTTTTTCCCTTCAGACGGAACTGGATAGGAACAGCAGTCTGGCTTGGGACTCTGACAGGGGTGGTCCCATCGAGCGCACTACGGCTACGAGTGTGACCCCTTTGTCTCTTAACCATGGATTGGGTGCCCATCATTGCTGCCACGGCGGCCTTGAACGAGCTGCTTCTGGAAGCAGATGTAGGTGGGGGGGTGGAAGGTCGGCTTTCCGGCAGTGCAGGAAGTTGTTCGAGATCAAGATCAAGCGGCGAGGGCAAGTCTTCGAGGTAGCGGTACCCAGGTCCCGTGAGAGTAGGGTAGGGAGGCAAAGGAAGGAGGTCCCCATATTGAGGATCGATGGCGGGGGTGATGGATCTATGAACTAGGACTTCAGGGTCGATAAACCGAGAATCGGTGTGTCGCAGCTGTTGGGCTGGCTCGGGGGCACTGTCCGAGCCCGCGTTGTTGCTGTCGTGTGATTTCTTCTTCTTCTTCTTCTTCTTCTCCTCCTCCTTTTCCTCCTTAGCTTTAGCGACGGGGATATCGCCCATGGAGGCCTGGGTGGCATTTGGGCGAGGGAGAATCTGGGCCTCCGCTTCCTTGCTCTCAGAAGCGGTCGCAGCCTCAGAATCTTCTGCCGAGCCGGCACCTGCGCCATGGGTGCCGGCATTACCTAAAAAAGACTGCTCCTCATGGTTGCCGTTCAATTCGGTGGTGGTGGTGATGATGTGGTCGTGCTTGCCGCCCGATGTCGAGCCATTGGTCTGGTTCTTCGGGAAATCAGCGAACTCATGGCTAGGTCGGCGGTCCGAAACACCACTGTGCTCCGTGGTAACCTTCTCGCCTTCCCGTGCACTCTCATCGGAGGGATAGGTCTGGGAGTTCTCGCGGTCCACAACCTCAAACGAGAACTCCTTTCCCAACCGATCTGGCGGCTCTCGATTATCCGGATTGAATGTCCTCTTTGGGTTCGTCGTGGTTTCGTCCTTATCAATTTCCACTTCTCGCGGAAGGGACTCCCACTCCTCACTCGTAGAAGAAGTTTGTGTCTCCGGCTCTAATGCCACGCCATCGCGGCGCCAGGTATAAGTATCGGCATGCGTGTCGGGGTTCGGGTTCTCGCCGCAAAGCACATCGGCGAAGTTATCGGAGAAGGTAGGGCGGTAAGGAGAGAAGATCGGTGGTTCTACAACACCTTTCGGGAGCTTTCGCTTGGGCTTGACGGGGCTACTTGTTTGTTCATCGACAATCTGTTACTAGGTTAGCAATCGTAATCGTCCGCTGTGATGATGTTGCTTTCTCACCTGACGCATAGCCTCATCTCTTTTCTCTTCATGAGAATCTCCCTCGGGAAGCGCACTCTGCCCCTCATCCTTTGGCTCCTCCTTAGGCTCATCATACTTGGTCTCCTCAGTCGTTTTCGGGCTCTCCGGTTCCTGAATGGCAATTGTGGGGACCGGCGGCGCGTCATGGTGCGGCTCCGGATGCGGCTCCGGAGCGGGATGCAGGGCTTGGCGGGGTAGTTCAACATCGGGCTGCACCTCAGTCTTTGTTGGCGCAACAACCTCAGCCGGCTTTGTCTCAGGCTCGAGCTCCCGCAATTTCTGCTCTTCAACAATTGGAGCTTCAACAACCGAAGCTGGGACCTCAATCTGTTCCTCGACTTCAGGAGCAGCGCTCTTCTCCTCCGCAGCCGGGAGCTCGGCCTTCTTCTCAGCGGCTGCCTTTCTATCCTCAGCAACCTTCTTGAGCAGCGCACCACCAAGCGCTCCCCAAGCACTGCTCGCCTTCCTCTCCTTCTTGGGTTGCAACAGCGCGCGCTTGATCGCTTCCACGGCTGCTTGCCTCGACCTGTCCGCAACAACATGCGTCAAACCCGTATCAGCCACGGGCTCCACCCACCCATCTGACTTGACGGACTCGTTGTCTTCATCCTTTGGGGTCGGGGCGATGATTTCGATTTCACCGCGGGCATTGAGGATGTAGTTCGGCTTCTTCGATTCGTCGGCAGCAACGGGCGTTGGCTTGGGGTCCTCGGAGGTAGGCTTGGTCTCGATGGGTCCTGTCTGAGGCTCGCGGGCAGCTTGTCTTTCGCGTTCCCTCCGTTGGCGTTCTGGGTTCGGAGTGGGCGCGGGCGTTGGCAACACCAAAGTCAACAAGGGCCTCTCCCTCTCACACGACGGATCTCTCGAACTGAACATCGGTTTTCCAGCGGGCGCATGAAGACTGGCATGATCCTCCGACGGTGTGAGGAACTTGTGCAGATCTCTCGGCAAGATAACATGGTCAATCTTCACATCGGCATTGGGCTCGGCGTACTTGCTCTTTGCGGGCTTTCCATCATCTGCAGGCTCGACCGTAACCCATTTAGGTTCGGCCGTGATGATCGTTGGTTCGGCTGTGACGATGACAGGTGACGATGGTTCGGACTTTGAATCGTCATACTTATCCACGACCGATCGATTAGGCGAGCTGCTGCGCAAGCGTTCGTTCCGCTGGCTATTCTTGTAGTCACGGTACCACTTGTTAGCTTCGACCTGAGGATCTGGCTTTGGCTCCGCCTCGCGAGCGTAACTGGGTTGACGGCTGCGGCTGCGGGCACGACCAGGTTCTTCGGTGATATCGCGCAGTGGCTCGGATTCGCGGACACGGCTTCCCGCCCGGTTACGGCTCCGGCTTCGCTCACGTTCGGGCCCCTCCGGCGTTAGTGTTTTCATGTCCGCCTCGGAAGCAGTCCTTGGGTCGAAATAATCCCCAGTTGGCTGCTCAGACGCATTCCTGCTCCTGCGGATTTCCTCCTGGCGCTTCTCGATTTCAAAGGTATCACGACGGGTTATTCTCTCACGAACTTCAAGCTCCTGATCGGTCAACTGGCGGGTTACTTGACGGCGCTTGGGAGGCGAGAAATCAGGCTCGGGAACGGTATGGACCTGAGGAGTCAATGGCCTAGCCGGGGTGGCATAAACGGGAGTGGCAAAGGCATCATCCGGAACCTGAAATTGGAATGGGTCAATTACGCCTTTAGGGGACTTCGAAGGGGATGGTCCTGGAGCTGGTGCTTCCTTGGAGTCGCGACTAACCTGGTCCTTGGTGAGTTTCGAAGACTCTGGCACAACAGGTGGGCTAGACTTGCGAGGTTCCTCTTCTTTAGGCTTCTTTTGTTGCTGCTCAGCGGCTTCAAGCTCGGCCAATTTCCTAGCCCGTTCCTTTTCGAGCTCGAGTTCCTTTTGCATTTCGGCGAGGAGTCGGCGAGTTTCGGCGCGCTTAGCACGTCTTTCCTCCTTGCTGGGCTTCTTGGGCTCCGGGTTCAGGGTGTCGCCCATACTCTCTCGCTTCTCTCCCGGAACGGATCGGGTGGGCTCTTCGACCTTGGGCTTGGGCTCGTCTTTCGGAACGTCGCGCTCGTTGATGATGGTAACAGGCTGAGGCTTGGGACGGTGGTGCTCCTCGCGGTCAATCTCCTTACCTTTATCGGAGCGCTTTTCCTCGGGAGACTCATCCCTCGATTGCCGGCTAGTGCTACGGTGTCTGGGCTCAATATCGACAACCATATTGTCCCGCTCAGCGCGATACCGAGCATCATGCATTCGGCGTTCCTCCTTGTACTGCATTTCACGGGCCTCTCGGACACGGCGTTCGTACTGTTCGCGGTAATCGGCTTCGTCACGGAGGCGCCTAGCTTCCTTGGCAACGGCCTCAATCGCAGATTCGCGGGTCTCAAGCTCTCGGCGGGCAGCAATAGCAAGATCCTCTGCCTCGCGACGGACATTCTGAAGATGCTCACGCTCTTGACGTTCCCGCTCCTCGGCAGCGGCTGCGCGTTCCATCGCTTCACGGCGGGCCTTTTCGATGGCTTCCTGGACTTCGCGTTCCTGGGCTTCGCGACGAGCTTTCTCAAGAGCTTCGAGTTCCCGTTGAGCGGCAGCGGCAGCAGCAGCGCGTTCTTCAGCTTCCCTCTGCATCTTCTCAAGAGCCTCACGCGCTTCCCGCTCCTCGCGTTCTCTCTGCACGGCCAGTTGAAGAGCAGCAGCGGCGGCACGCTCCTCTGCCTCCTTCTTCTCGCGAGCTTCCCGCTCAGCGGCCTCCTGAGCTTCACGAGCTTCACGCTCCCGCTTGATGGCAGCGGCAGCACGGGCCTCCCGTTCTTGGCGTTCCTTCTCAAGGCGCTCCTTCTCGGCCTCCTCGACTTTCCGGCGCTGCTCTTCCTCCTGCTGGACGCGTGCCTTGTACTCGGCCAGAACGTGGTTGGGGTCCAGGCTACGTTCCTCTTCGTCGTCTCGTCGGTGTCGATCCTGGAAGAGGGCGGTTCCGATGAGTGTCGCGGCAACACCGGCAGCAGCCGGGTCGGTAAACTTGGGGACATCGGAGGCTAGGCGGTTGTGGCGGTCTTCGAAGTCGTGCCAATCATCGAACTCGAGATCACGGGTCGTAGGGAGCGGGACCTGGACATGGACCGGAACGTGAGAGGTGTGCGAAGTATGAGAATGGTGCGACGGAACCTGAGAATGGTGAGAAGCATGAGATGGGTGAGTGGAACCAGTGCTCATATCAGAAGCACGCGAGCGATGTTGTCGGTAGTTGGAGGGTGGCGTATCATCCCGGATTACTTCATGTTTATTAGCTGCAGTTCCAATGGACTTGGCCAGGGCTGAGTCGGCCACAAGGTGCCTACCATCGGCTGATCTCTGGCGCGGCATTTGATGTTGCTCCAGGGCGCGTGTCGAGACTGGAACACGGGGCTTGGGGGCCTGGATGGCAACAGCAACGGGTCGTGACGTGATCAGGGGTGAGCCGGATACCAGAGTTGGACTGGTGACGGCATCGAACCTGTGGGGATCGGGGGTAGCGACCGGGTAGACCATCTGCATTGGTGTATCAAGCTCATCCGCCGGGGTAGGATGTTCAGGAAGAGGATCGTTCTCGAATCTGTTAAGCCAAGGCTTCGACTGACGGGGTGGGGGCGCATTCTCAGTCGGTCGGAAGCTATTCAGAGGAGTCACAAGACCGTGCAAGGAGTTGACGGGACCAAACTTGGAGGGATCGACGGCCTTGTTCCTGACATAGGGTTTCTGAGGGCTGATGGTCGGTGGTGGAGGCGCGGCAGCCGGGGGAGAAGACAGCTTATCGTCCGAATAGTGAGGTGAGGAACCATAGGCGAGGTCAGAGTCACTAGCACTGGCCTCTTCCGTGTTGTCACCCGAGTCGGAGTCCGAGTCTGAAGCCGTGTCCCAGCCCTGATCGTCGTCATTTTGCTCATTGCGTTTAAACTTGGAGGGAGCAAGACCGCGGCGTCCATTCCTCCTCGAATTCTGGCGGCGGAAGTTGGAGATGGCGGTCGCGGCACCTACCAGCTGGGATGGGCGTTGTTTGCCAGCCCTTTCCAGGTCACGGAGGTTGGAAGCCCTAGCAAGGTCAGAAATCTTGCGCCCAAGTTCAATAATCTCCTCATCCGTCTTTGTTCGCGCCAAGTTGGGTCGGCCATCAGGAGTAAAGAGCTCTGGATCGTGTTCGGGCTCGTCATGGTGGTACTGCGAAGGGTGCTGATAACCATGGGGTTGCTGCTGGTGGTACTGCTGATGTTGGTGACGATAGTACGGCTCGGGATGCGCGTGTGGCTGTTGTTGGTGCTGTGGGCGTGGTGTAGTTTGGTCCGAGTGCGCATACTGGGGCTGGGCCACATATGGTCTTGGTGTGGTCTGGTCCGAGGGCGCATATTGATTCTGCGGCACATATTCTGGGCGCTGGTACTCATGCTGAGGCTCGTACTGCTGATGATCATTATACTGATCCTTCGGCTGGTGGTACTGATCCTTGGGCTGGTCCTTGTGTTGCTGATACTCCTTGTCGTGGTGGGAGTGTTGAGAATAGGTCTGGCTAATCTTCCTCTGCGGCCCGCTCCTTCTCCTGACACCTCTCTGCGACTCTAGGGAAGACCTGGACTGGTAACCGCCATAGGCCAAGTTGCTGTCGACGGAAGACGAGGAATAGTTCTTCTTTCGAAAAGATCGGCGCTTTCGTACTTTCTTGGAGGATGCCAAGGAAAAGAAAGAGCGGAAGCCCCATCCGGTGGTTCTTGGGGGGCGGCTGTCTTCATCGGAGGAGGTGACGGCGGAAGACGAAGTACTGGAGTTGGCGCGGGGATCGGGTGGGAGGAGGACGGGCCGGCAGCAGCAGTCTGTTGGCCGACGGTGGCGGCGGCGAGGGCGGCAGCGGCGAGCTGTTCTCTGGAATGGCGGCGGTCAGCGCGTCGGCGACGCTCCCTCTCGGGGCTCCGGCGGCGTTGGTCTCGCGGAATCATTGTTGACCGCGTGGGTATAAGATATGATGTGTTTCGTTACGGGCCATTCATCTGCGGCTGGCGATGTGTATGCGTCGTTGATATTGATGCAATTGGTAGGGGGTGTCGTTCATTCGTTACAGTCGTTCAGTTGCGTGTCTATTCGCGAAATACGGGGTATCGATACTCTTGTGCAAAACACTACGACTAGGTAGGGGTGGTAGATGGTAAGCGATCGCGATACTGGACACTAGATGTCGGTGATTTAGGTATTTTGGTGTATTTTGGTGTATTTTGGCGAGGTTGTTGTGTATATGCTTAGGATTAAATTGTCATGGATTCACACGTACGGAGCTGAGAGCTGAGAGCTGAGAGCTGCTTCGGTTGGAGGCTGGGGACGGGGGTGAGGGACTGGACTGGGGTTTGGATCTCGATTATGGATTCTCTCTTTTTGGTTGAAGGGTCCCCCAGACAGCGAGCGCAACAGCGAACAGCGTTGACAATTATTGATTTTGGTATTTTCCGGGGTATAGTGATGAGAAGTTGTTGTTGTTGTGTTGTATGAGGCTGGATGACCCTTGACACTCTATTCAGCCCTGCTGTAAGGAGTGTGTGTGTGAGGAACAAGAGTGTTGAAGAGTCCCTTTCTTTCTCAAAATGACTTTGAAAGATGAAAGGTTACAATCAGATGGAATTAGTCAGGGAATTGCCTGTGTCGCTCTCCACGGGCTGAGAGGGAAGGAACAAGCGCCGAACCGACGATGCCCTGCGTGGAGACGGAAGGCCCAGAGGACCCCGATCCTGCCAATTGCTACGTGAACCAATCCCAATTGGTTTGGTGATAGACTTGGGGGACCCGCAATTTGGATCTCAGGTGGCAGGAACGAACAACCACAGACCTTTGAAGTCGCTCAGATGCCAACAGCCGCGGCGAACGAGAGGTGAGGACTGAGGAGACAGGGTGTTGAGACGTGAAGAGGGCGTGAAGATTGAAGAGAGAGGGGCCGTGCTTTTTTCCCTCTTTCCATTTTCTTGAGATTTGCTCTTGGGATGAACACGACGTTCCTTCCCACCACGCCAACCACTCTCCACTCGCGGGAGAAGGAGCGATCCTTGTCACTCTTGGGAGCTTGGGATGGACGGATCTCCACGAATCGAAACATGGAACCGGAGGCCCCCTTCCCCATTCGATGTTTCTGATGTCTCAAACCCAGCTGAACCATATCTCGTCAAAACGCGACTTTTTCTTCTCACCCACCTGCCAGTCAGTGCGGCACCACCTGAGACCACACCTCATCTCCCCCTCATTCTGCTCGCAAACACAAGAGCACAACCACCACACAAAGTTGTGTGTGTGTCTCACAGCATGTCCCGACTCCCGCGCCCTCGTCCCGCGGCCGAATCATGATTTGCAGCCGGGGAGGGTACTCTGAAAGTGGTGTACAGTGGTGGGTATTTTTCTGCCCTTTTGCGTCCTCGTCTGGGCAGTCTACCCTTGCATCAGTCTCACCGCTCAATTGGCCCATTCCGACCTCTCTTCACGAGAAGCGCACGGCAACCTCTCCCACTGGTTGCTCACCCACGCCAAAAAGCCCAACAGCGAGTCCACACGTGTACAGAAAGAGGGAGGCGACATCACAATTCACCTCTTTTCAAGAGTCGGAAGTCGGAAGTCACTCAGAAGGCGAGAGAACCTGAAGAGGGGCTTCTTTTTTGGTGGTGTGTTTCTCGGCATGGTGCAGCTACCGGCGAGAAACTGATATTCCCTTCCTTCCCCCCTCAAATTGCCCCCTCTGACCCTGAACCCCCTTCTATCCAATCCTTATCGCGAATTGTTCGCCTCGCTATCACTTGCTGGACCTGCTTCGAGTTTGCCCGTCAGGCCTGTTATCGTGAAGCAGCAAAGAAGCCACTGCAGTCATGGATGAGTACAGTAAGCCTATGTGTTCATGTGCCTCGACGTCAGATCCGATCGGGCATCTGTAGCCTGTAGGCCTGAAAGCTGTTGGACGATGTCGTGAGGTTGAAATAAGCGCAGCAGCAGCATGCTTTTCTTTCATCCCATGGTTGGCAGATTGGGCCATGCGTTCTGTCATCCGAACATCCTTGATCTTCGAACCGTGAGTTCAGACGGAAACCTAACTTCATGACTTGGGATGACGGTCACACATCTCAGTCAAAGTTGAAACCTGACAAGAGATCGCTAGACACTTGTCAGTGATACCCAGCACACATACAAGCTGTTGGAAACACAAAGTTGGGTATCAGCAACCAACCCTTCCGGAAGAGTTTTGACTTGCATCTCTCTATGTCTCAACTCCGCTCCTCGGACAGGACGGTCTTGCCGAGGCCAGTTATCAACCCAAAGTTCAAGCCGGGAGAATATCGGATCAAGTTGTTACTGGTTGAAAGCACCAGTGTAAGAGTTGAAGGTGAGCGGAAGTCTCCAGCTAATCCAAGCTTGTGAGACGACTTGTTGTAGAAAGTCACATGTTCGGGTTTCATATTGGTTTTTATGATATGGATATCTCGAATGCCCCTTTCTTCTGGTGGACTCCGCTCCGTCCTCTGCTCGAAGCTATATATTCTACATATCGCCTTGAGGATCGTTTCTCCGACGTTGAGTCTGTTGCGATCCTTCTCATGTTGTGGTCCCAGTCACAGCATACAGTAGCAGCTTGCTTTAGTAGAGGTTGTCATACCAAGTGACGGTCGACTGAAAGTAATACATCAGGCTCGCTAACCAAGTGAGATTGCCCAAGCGGACATCGTGATAGTTTGCACGACGAAAACTATCAAAGAGAGCAGAAACGAGAGATGAGAAGAAACCCATAACGAGGACAGAGAATTCCATATCTTGTCGAGACTCTTTACAAAGCATGCATGGTAATTTCCTCATGAACCACCACAAGTATCTGACTGGAATCCACCAAACATATTCATAAAGAATGTCTCCAAGAAAACCGGGTAGGCCAATTTGTTTAATTATCCTTGATCATCAGTTTTGTCCACCAAACAAGGGGTCACAAAGAGAGATTCCAAGAGAGAGAAAATAATCAACAACAGCGACTTGAACACTTTCTCGATTTGGCCCCATCCACTTTCATGAATAAACAAACATAAAGTACATTAATAATCCATTCCACTGCCCGCTCCGCCGCCGCTTAAAAGAAGAGCTAGTTCTAATAGGCACTCGAGTGTGGAAGAACACTAGCATTGCGCATGATATGACAACCGAGGGCAAGATAATGTGAGGTAGTCAGGTCCTTAGGCTGCGATAGACTGAACAACTCAACTGAAACAACACGATGAAAGAACTACGAAAACCTCTATTAAAACGAAACTGATACAAGTTACCGGACAGTCTTAACCCTGGAGACGGAAAGCTGGGAAAACGGGAACATATCAGTACAGAACCGCTACCTAGGTAAGTTTTTGCATATCTTCCTGTGAAGCATGAGTACCCAGTTTAGGAACACAAAACAGCATGAACAACTAAGCTCTGATATGTTTTCTACAATCAGGCTCTTCTCTTGTTCCATTTTCTGACCTGAGATTCTTCAGTTCCAGGTTACTCTGAAAACACCGACTTCATCCAAGATAAGAACCTGCATGAGAGCGGAGAGAAACCATGCATATAGCAGTTAGGCGGGCAGACAGGATGAAGTGACATCGTATCTTGGCACCTAGATATGTAACTGCGTGACTGTGTAAATGGTGAGAACAATAAGAGATGCTCTTCTTTGAACGGAGGATCTTAGGTGCGTTTCTTGTTCAATCACTTCACTTTCTCTTCGATATACGTCGTTCCTTCGCGGATGTCCAAATGTCGAGGAAGCTGGAGCAGCACCAAGGAAAGCTTGGATGAGGGGCGAAAGACGTATGTGGATGAAGGGAGAAAAGCGATGAGAGCTTACCCAGTCGGAAAGTTCGGTAATGAGCCTCCATCAGCTGTAAGTTCCGTACTGTGCGTCCATAGAATAAAACAATGCAGACTTGTTGGTTAGCGATCCAGCTGGATAGGAAGGCTTGGTTGGTATATCAAGGAACACGACAGTACAGTATTGGCACCATTGTAAAGTCCTCCGTCTGAAACAAGAAACTATATCATATAAAAGAAGTCAGTAGGTATCCCAAGAAATATGACCTACAGATCATCATACAACAGTACAGCACCGACACCAATGTAAAGTGCTGAACAAGAACAGGAATCTTGATTTGTATGAAAAAGAAGTAAGTATCTCAACATTGGACGGATCATATACAACAGAACAACAGCGAAGCCCGTGTCGTGGTTTAACCGAACAAGAAAAACTTGGTATATAAAAAGAAGTATCTCAAACATCTGGCAGATCATACAACAGAACGAAAGGCTATCCAAAGCGCTACGCAAAACAAACGACAGAACCGCCATCCATCCACCCATATCCAAACAACTACCTACCCGTCATCGTCTTTCTCCCAAGACTCAGCTACCGTATTCAACGCTACAAACCTCAAACAACTAATGCCCATACTCCAAATGCGGCACAATAACCGGCCCATACTTGGTAGTAGCCGTAAACGCTCCATCACCCTGAACCACAAAATCCACCGCCAAACTCAACTTATTCAATCCACCCCCGTTTCCACCACTTCCACCACTATGCACACTCGCCGCATACCCCCCACCACCTTGCCCATTCATCATACTCCCGCCCATCCCCCCATTAACAGCCGCATCAGGATCATACGCCACAATAGCGACATAATTCCTTCTCGCCATGAGTTTCTTGTACTCCCTCGCTGCTCCCGAAGCGTCGGTGTGGAAGATCTCCATCATGTCTTCTTTGGTGTCGGAGACTTCGTGGGTTGATTTGTGGCCGTTTAGCGGCACGTACAATAGTTTGTTGTTGGAGCCGGAGTGGAGGGCTTTGAGCAGGTAGGAGGAACAGGGCGCGGCGACGATGGGCGAGGTTATTAGCTGGTACATGGTTTTGTGGTCGGAGGGGTGGGAGGGGTCGTGGAGAAGGCCGGCGCCTGCTGAGGAGACGTCTGTTTACTTGTTAGCGTTTGAGCAGGAGAGGGGGGGGGGTTAAAGAAGGGAATACGTACCACCACTCAAAAACGTCATCCGAACTCCCTTCTGCGCCGCAATCCCCTGCAACGTCCTAATCAGGTACGTCCTCTCCAGATCTTTACTCTCATGCGTCCACAGATCCTTAAGTTCCTCCGCAATATCGAACTCGCCAAACTGATTGAGGACATTACCCATCAATCCACTCTTACCCACGGCCCTCTTGACTTCCTTAAACCCATGCGCCACCACCTCTTTTCCTCCCACCACGCCCGCTACCGAGCTTGTCACTTTGCCTAGCAAGTTATAAGTGCTGTTTACGGCTTTCTTGCCCGTGGCAAAGGTGTTGGCTAGCGTCTCGACGGTTTCCAACCTCGGGTAGACCACGGGCACGGAAAGCATCCATATGCAGTGCTGGACGGAAGGTGGGAGCATGGCGACTTTGGGGAATAAGCCTTGGTAGGTGGGACCGGCCATTACTCTTGTCTGGGTGCGCTCGGAACGACAGTCCGGACCGACGACTACTACCGCAGGGCCGAGGTACTTGACAAAGTGCCAGCCCGCGCCGGTGATAGTGAAGAGGTCCATATCCGAAGAAACATTCCGTAGCATCTCAACGGTGGTATGATGCTGGAACAACAAATACATATCGATAGCTATGCGACCGATATTCTTGAATATGGCTGACGACTGCATGTACTCCGGATAGCTCCCAAAGCCGTCAAAGATATCATGGTCGTCAATCTGCAAGACATGCGGGATCTGCGCAAACGCTTCGCGCATGAAGGGTTGATCAAAGTGGCTCGTGTAATAATGGAAGTAAGCGTGCGTGACGTCTTCTTCGTGGCGAGCCGTCCAAGGTACGTTTTTCCTGTTTTCTCTTCCGGCGATGCTAAGCCATTGCTTGAGGATGGGAACCTCACGCCACAAACGGTCGCCGTAGATCTGGTCTCCCAACCCGAGTTGGACGTGAAAGCCGCCGCATTCGACGTTTTTCTGGAGTATGTCCTTCCACATAAACCCGACACCCCCCAACTTGGCGCGCTCGTTCTGGTTTGTGCTGGGAGCAAAATCATTCCCGGAATGCGCAATCATTCGCCACCCGGTCTCGTACCGACCAGCTACGATGAACTCGTAGCGTGTGCACCCCAAGTGGGAAGTGACGGCGTAGGTCCAGCGCTCGGTGCCGTGTTCGGACATTTGCAGGTCCATGTCGTACTTGTAGAAGACCCAGCGCTGGTGCGTCCAGATGTTGTGGGGGATTAGCTGGCGCGGGTTCGGGGACAAGTCGACGCTGAGGTGGATGTGGATGGTGGGCGGCTGGGGCGCGTCGGTCACGATCATGATGCTGCCGTGCCAGATACCCTTCTCCAGATCCATGTTGACGTAGCGAAGGTAGGGGCCGAAATAGACACCGTTGGTGGGCATGATCTTGTACATGTCTACGCCGGCGGAGGGGGGAGGGCCGGTGAAGCCCGAGGGAGCGGCGGAGGCGACGGTCATGATGCTTTCGGCGTAGCCTGGGGTTTGGGGGTGGAACATGGGAGAGGCTAGACCTGCCTTGCCGCCGAGGAGAGGCGAGGCGAGGGGGTTGCCGTAGGTTGAGGCCGTGGGAGACAGAGGAGCTGCCTCGTGGGAAATGGGGTTGGGACCCTTGGGGAACTCCCATTGTGTGGCCTGGGTGGCTAGGTGGATGTAGTAGTACTGACCCGAGTTCTGGTCAAGATGGGCAATCCAACCCTCAGGCAAAGGCGGCGGTGCCTGACTCGAAGCCATGAGAGACGGCGTGTGCTGCAAGGCCGGATGTCCGACATTGTGCGCAGCCTGAGCCGGGTGTTGAAGCTGGGGCTCATTGGCAAAGGCCGGGTGTCCGGGGTGTTGTTGAGCCGGCGTCTGAGGAGCAGCGACGGCAACGGGCTTGGGCTTGTGGATGGAGGAAGAGGGAGCCGGAGAGGCAGTGTTCGCAGGCCTACTGCTTCCAGAAGCAGCTGTTGCCGGACGGGAGGTTGGGTTCGGAGTGGCATTGTTGTTGTTGTTGTTGTTGTTGTTGTTGTTGTTGTTGTTGTTGTTGTTGTTGGCAGTGGCAGTGGCAGTGGCAGTGGCCGGATGTGCCTGGGTAGGCCGTTGTTTCTCGGCCGGGTAGCCCGAGGAGGCGGCATTCGGAGTGACACTGCTGTAAGCCGGAGGAGGAGTAGAAGCCTGCATGCGCTGGAAGTCCTGCTCCAAAACGCTCACTTGGAGGCTAGATCCAGCCGGCGCATTGCTACCAGCAGGCTCAGGGTTCTTGGGAAGGTTGTAGCTATTCTGCTGCTGGGGCTGGGGCCTCGCTGGCTGAGGGTTCTGGGCAACGGCATCGCCTTGGTAGACGGTAGGGGGCCCGAACGGTTGTTGATCCGGAGACTCAGTGGGAGTCCAAGGTCGAGGTGGTTGCGCCTGTGCTTGAGGTTGCTGCTGCTGGGACTGAGCGAGGGCAGGATGCTGGCTATGTGGTGGTTGAGACGGAGGTCTCTGTCCACCATATTGCGCCAAACGCGCATTAGCAGCCGCACTCTGCGCAGTTTGCGCCTGGAGACTCGTGAGGGTTGCGGTCCCCGAAATACCAGCAGCGGCATAGCGTGCCTCAATGCCACCTCCGGGAATCACACCCGGCTCAACAATGGGTGTCTCGGGAGGAGGAGGCGATCCACGGCTAGCCCTCGTGGTCGAAGTCGAAGCCGTTGAAGAGATACGGGCAATGCTAGGCTCCGAGTTCTTGCGAACGTTGCCACCTCCGGGAGGAGGGTAATAAGGCTTTTGTTGATAGGCATTGGAGATTCTCTGCGCAGGATGTTGCTGGGCTTGCTGCTGGGCTGGCTGCTGGACAGGTCGACCCAAGGGCTTCGCAAACAGGTCATCCCCAGTGGGACTATCGGGACTCTGTAGAGGCTTGGGAACAGCTCCGCGCCTATCTGCCAAACCAGGCTTCTTCTCGATGGGACTTATGTTCAACCGCGGGCTGGAATCATTGTGTAGCTGAGGGGTCGAGGAGATCGGAGGAGGGCTATAGATGCGCCCAGTGCTTGAAGCCGGAGATGGCCTGCGCACATCATCGACGGGGTATGGGGCTCGGGCTGGCTTGGAGGCCTGCTGTGTAGGTCGAGAAGAGAGGTCGTCGTCCGGGTACGGGAGAGGGGCGGCCGAACTCGAAGCTCCGGGCGGGAGAGGGAAGGATGGCAACGGAGGTAGGCCCGGGAGGCCGGGTAAAGGGGCGATGGAAGCTGAGGCTGAGGCTGCCGATGACGATGTTGGCGGGGCGGGGTATTTGCTGTAAGATGCCTTATCGGCGGCACCTGGTGGTTTCGGGCTCATGGGCTTGAAAATTCTCAGAGGCTCAACGGTGGGACTGTCGCAATCTTCATCCGAAGGACGAGGTCTGCTAATGAAGAGTTCCTCATCTTGAAAACCGCGGGGTCGAGACATGTTGACTTTTGGGTAGATGGGAATCTGGTAAGGAGTGGTGGTGGTTATTTTGGGAGAGCGGCTATGCGCAACAACGGGCTGGCGTCGTTTCGGGATGTCGAAGGATTTGGGAGGACAAACGGTCTCTTGTCACTCTTGAGGGAGTGTGTGTTTATTTCCGGATGGTTTCAGCTCTCTCGGTCTCGTCGCTTGGAGTCCGCAAAGGGGTTCGTGATTACCCCTCCTTGGTGTTGAGGATGGAGATGATGGTAAAAGATAAGACAACACAACTCTTGACGGGAACACAACAAGCTCGTTGCGCTCAACTTGTCACAAGCTGAAGCTTCTCAACTGAAGCAATCCAAACAAAAACAAAAAGTTAGTTGAAGATGGACTTGTTGAAACACAAAAGCTGTCTTGTATCAGAAAAAAGGGCCAGACCGGGAAGACAAGGTGATCAATATGCGGCCAGATACTGCGACCTGACATGGGCGGCGGCCAGGCACAACTTGATGGAGACAAGCAGAAAAAGAGACCAGGGGCAAAGGGGTAGGTTAGTTAGTTCAGGCTTCAGCAACCCCAGTGATTGTGAGGGCGGCGTGGGCGGCAGTTCAGGCTCGCTGCCCACTGAATAAAGTGTCACTCACACATCCATGGGCAACAAGCTGTGTGATTGGCCTCGGATGGCCTCCCATGGCAGCGCTTATGAAGCTTGGAGATGGGGGCTTGATTGGACGAGAGTGGTTGCAAGCGCCCACCAAAGCTCACCCTGTTCACAAGTCAAAAAGCTTTTGTCGTCGCAGGCGTCAGAGGACTCCGACTCCCACTCCGAATGGGGAACTCATGATTGCAATCTCGCGAGACTCATTTTGTTTGCTCTTGGGTTTTTCGAGTCCTTGATGTCTTGTGGTATCGCCACTGAGATGAGCTGTGGATGAAGAGGGTCCCCCGCAGTTTATTATTGACTGGTGATGCTATGGCACTGATTAGATGGCGGGGCAACCCGGGCTGTCCTGGCCAAAACGCCTAAACAATGGGCCGGGGGTAGGGTACGGGAGTTTGTTTAAGAGTGTCTCTTCATTCTCTGGCTTCACCTGGGTAGGAGTTGAACTTGTCTTTGTTGTGAACAAAGAACTTGTACCTAATGTTTATGTTTGTACTGGGTTAGGTGCAAAGACCAAACATTGGATGGTGCATGTGACTGTGATGAGCGCTTGCTTCTGTTCACTTGAGCTGAAGACTCTGGACTTTGAATGCCAAGACACTTCTCAAATGTCTCTTCATTCTCGTCTGGCATTCGGTCAACATGCACTCTTGAAGTATCCTTCAAATAGTCAACATGTCAAATGGCAATATTTGAGACATCTTATGCCGTCTCACCACCTCCTCTTGCCAAAATGGTGCTGTGTCTCGAAACATGAAGACAAGACGGCTCGGCCAACCGGGGGAGGGGAGCGGGGCCGGCCGGCAAGTTCCACCCTACTGGAGTTCCACCAGTTTCCATCTTGCTTGCGCCATTCCCCTGCAGACCCTGCTGCTGCAGCCTTCGTTTCCGCCCGTCTGCAGGCGAGTTCCAGGCTTCACAAGCAAAAACACCAAGAACACCACCATCTTCAAATCTGGCATGGTGCTCATTCAGCTTGAAAATTCTTCATTATAACTCGGACCCGGCCGTTTGTTGTCTCTTACTTTTTTTCCATTCAGCTGTAAAATTCTTCACCTCTGTCCACAGGTTCATCACAAGTCGGCCGAAATCAGGAGTTCGGAACCAGGCGGATGAACAGCCCACCTCCTCGTCGAGTCCGTCCGTCCCTGCAGTGGTGAGCTGCGGTGCATCCATGTGCAATGGTTCGAATCAATGGCATGGAATGGACGCAATTCGCAGCGGTTCGCAGGCGGGGTTGTTAGACGCTACACTGGATTCTAACAATCACCTGCCCTGCGGCTGGCAACGGGATGCCTGATTCGGCCGCTACAGTGTCATTGCAGTGTCGACGCAGTGTCAAAGGGAATCCAATAGCGCCTTCATCACGTCGTCCAACTGTCCAACAACATCATCTCCAATACAACTGAATGCTGCATGGCCGGCTTCCTTCCCGAACAGAGATTCCCGAAAGACCAACGATCAGGGAGTACAAACCCCAGATTCCTGTGCCCCCACGAAAAGAGATTTGTCAATTCCGTTTCAATTGGGGCCTTTTGTTTGGTTCGTGAAGAGAAAAGGCTGGTGGTGTTGAGAGAGCACGTCAAGTGACGAACACAGGAGGACGACAAGGTCGAGTTCCATTGTGAATGTGTGTGTTTGTGCGTGTGTGTGTCAACGGAAACTCGCCTCAAACCACCACAGCCACCTTGTTGAACCTCTCTATTTCCCTGTTTCTTTTTGTTTCACTCTTGCTTCAAAAGCAGAAGAAAGGCATCTTCCTCGTATCTCCTACATCCGACCTACATAATCTTTATATCTCCTCAAGATAAGGTAGGAAATAGGCACCTCTCACGCGCCATCCTTGCCGAGGCCGCGTCTCCCACAACTTCAACGACGTCACTTGCTGTTTTCCGTGGAGTGACCCCCAACCCAACTTCCATCTCCGCCCCGTCTTCCCCGGATCAACACGCCAAGCTAGGCCGGTGCCGGCTCTTTCCAGCCTTGGCCTTGTTCAAAATATCATCTACCCCTCCTCCCCGTCCTAGGTTACCCTCGTCTTCTTACAGCCCATCCTTCTCTCTTGCTTCATCGTGACCGTGTATAAGGGAACCGTGAGACCCTCGAGCCCTCCAGCTCTGCCCGTCTCTCTTCCCCCGTTCCCGTTCTTAACCATACCGTCGTCACCATGTCTCTGAACCGTGTATCCTCGTTGGAGACCTTTGCTCCCCTCCTCACAGAGAACAGATCCAGAAGAAGCTCGGATGCCTCGACCCGTAACCGCAAGATTAGCTTCAACCCTCTCCCAGCAGAATGGGATCCTCCAGCTTTGGACCAGATCCAGGCCGTAGGTGCCTTTGAAGTACCAAAGTGGAAGAGAACCCGTAGGTCATTTGTAACCCCGATATTCATCCTAGCATTTGATATTGACCATATGTTACAAACAGTCCAAGTAGTCGTCGCCGTCATCTACTCCCTCTTTGCCGCCGGAATCGTCTTTGGCTACGCCGCCATCAAGCCCGTCCTAAAACGAGAGGGTGTCTACCAAGATGTCTGCCGCGTCGACCCCAACGATGAGGACGCCATCAGCCAAGACACATGCGTCGAGATTCACCTAAACCTCATGTTCACCACGGCTGCCGTGGCTACCAACGTTGCTGCCCTTCCCGTCGGTGCTATCCTCGATCGCTATGGTCCCCGTGTCTGCGGTCTTCTAGGAGCCTTGTCCCTCGCCATCGGTGCCCTGTTCATGTCTTTCGAGAACAACTTGCCCTTCGACGGCCTGCTATTCGGATATCTCTTTCTGGCCCTCGGCGGACCCTTCACCTATATCTCGTCCTTCCAGCTATCCAACGCCTTTCCCAAGAACTCGGGGTTGATCCTCGCCCTTCTGACAGGCGCCTTCGACGCTTCCAGTGCCTTGTTCCTAGTGTACCGCGTCATCTACGAGCAATCCAACGAAACCTTTGGCCACCAGAGCTTCTTCCTCGCCTACCTCGTCGTCCCTGCCGCCATCGTCGTCATCCAGTTCGTTCTGATGCCAGCCCAATCCTACAAGACCGTGGGCGAACTAGTGGAGGAGATCGAGGAGCCCATCACCACGGACATAGATCCCTATGACGACCAGATCGACGAGGAGACGGCTTTGCTCCACGAAGAAGAGAGACAGCACCGTGCCGAGGTGGTCTCGGGTATCCAGGAGTTGCTGGGAACTACCAAGGCGGATAAGCAGGCCAAGAGGGAAGAGCGCAAGAATGAGATTTCGGGCGTTTGGGGCGTTATGCATGCTTATACTGCTTGGGAGCAGATCAAGAGTCCTTGGTTTACTTTGATTTGTTTGTTTACTGGTATGTCCCCTTCCCTTCCCCTTCCCTTCCCCTTCCCCTTTCCCCTTTCCATCCCCTTTCCCACCCTTCCCGTTCTTGCACCCCAACTAACTCCCCTGTGTCACAGTCGTCCAAATGACCCGAATCAACTACTTTGTCGCCACTATCCGCGTGCAATACACCGACCTGCTCGATTCCCCTGCCCTCGCCGAGCGCGTAAACGATTTCTTCGACCTCGCCCTTCCCCTCGGCGGCATCCTATCGATTCCCTTCATCGGCGCCATCCTCGACCGCACCTCCACCGTCACCGTTTTGACAACCCTCGTCGCAATCGCCACCACCATCGGCGCTCTCGGCGTGATCCCCCACAGCATGTTCGCCGCCTACGCCAACGTCTGCCTCTTTGTGCTTTACCGCCCCTTCTATTACACCGCCGTATCCGACTACTCGGCCAAGGTCTTCGGGTTCAGGACGTTCGGCACGGTGTACGGCACGATTATCTGTTTTGCGGGACTGTTGAACTTCAGTCAATCTGGTCTGGATTACCTGCTTCACGAGACTTGCGAGGGGAACCCGGTCCCCGTGAATATCGGGCTGATGGCTACTGGATTTCTGATTGGTGCGATCATGGTGATTTTTGTGGCAGTGAAGGCGAGGGGGATCAAGCGGAAGTTGTTGGAGGAGGAGGCTAGGGGGGTTTTGGGGGGAGTACTAGGTACTAGGTATCTGTTACAGAGTGCTAGGGGGTGGACGACCTGGACGAAAGAAGAAGAATATGACGACTGACGCACCTGATCAGTTGTGGAAATATGCCGGCTGGCTGATGGGAGGAAAGATTAGCCCTAGCCCGAGCATGAGGACGAAGATGATGATGTGACAATCAACAAAACAAAACAAAACAAAAAAAAAAAAAAAAAAAAAACCAAAAAAAAAAAAAAAAAAAAAAAAAGATGACAACAAAATAGGAGCAGCAGACAACAAAATAGGAGCAGCAGAATACTCAATCATACCATCATGGGCAAGAGAACAGTTTGACCGAAAACAAAAGGATGGACAACAACAAACAACAACAACATGGACTGCAACCTCTCTTGACAACAACAACAACAACAACAAAAACAACAACAACAACAACAACAACACTGGACTGCAACCTCTCTTGACAACAACAACAACAACAACAAAAGTGGAAAAGGGTTCCACATGCGGCTCATGCGGGAGTCATGGTAACGGAATATGCATGGATGGATATCGACGTTTTATGGCTTTTAAGGACTTCTCATTGCTGCAGGCAAAGCAAGCTAGCATGGTGTTTGGGGATGCGGAGTTTGAGTTTCATGTTCATGTTTAGCATGTGGCATTGTGTCATTTTCATCTCACTTCATAAATCAAAAGGACTGCAAACAAAGGGAAACGAAAGCGAAGATTGTCGAAGATGTCGGGACAGATGGAGGATGAAGGATTGCGCATATACACGGTCAGCATCTTTTCTTTGGAGCAGCGAATAGCATTAACACTGTTTTTATATTACCACGTTTAAGAATATTTTGACGAAGATGGACTTGATTTGTTGCCGGACTGTTGCTGAACTGTTTGTTATTCAAGTGTTTGTGAACTATTGCTAAAGGCTTACTGGAGGAGTATTGCTGAACGTTTCCTGAAGGGTTTGCTAATGTGTTATGGAAGGGGTTTCTAAAGTGTTGCTAAACCTAAGGCCGCTAAAAAGTGTTTCTGAAGCATTCTTCAACTGTTGGTGAACTGTTTGATTTTTAATAACATATGGCTGTTGCCGAACTATTTCAAAGTAGTAAATTATGCCTCGACTGGTTGCTAAAGTGTTGCTTAAATTGCTGAACCATTGCTTGAATACTGTAATTTGTGAAACAAAGGAGGAAAGAGAGAAACCATAAACAAGATAGTGAAAAAGAATGGACGAAAGATGAAATGGATGAAAAATAGATGAAGCGATCAAAGGTGTAGACATGGACAATTCATAGTATCTCGTCAGCCAGCATTGTATGCTTTGGAGTATTGTAGCACTAATAGCAAGCAAGTTCATCCTTATTTCTCAAGCTGATGTCATTTTCCTTTTTCGATCGTTGGTCTTGTTCGTCTTGTTGTCTCTTAGTGACATTGACAGATGAAATCTTGTTCGTCTTGTTCGTCTTGTTGTCTCTTAGTGACATCCGCATTGACAGATGAAGTTCGTTCTTGATAACTGGAAACAACCCAGGGAAACACTACATTGTGACTGAAATTAACGACCTTCAGATGAATGACTCAAGTTTCTTTTTCTGTATTACAGTCTATTATTTCACCACTCTTCAGCTACGTCAGTTAGGTAGGTACTTGTCGTGAGCCATATTGGTACAACACAAGGGCATGGATCGGAAACGCTCCTAATTCAGACAGGAATTTGCCTATCCATTCGATTCAACTACCTAACTACCTAACTATGCCTAAACCACATGAACCAAATATCGATAACCGCTGGTCCTGGTAGTGAACTAACTATCTACGCTGCGTTGTAAACAAATACAAGTCCCTAAAACTAAACACAAAAGGTCCATTCCACCCTCATCACATCACATCCACATCTCATCCACACCACCCTCACCAAACAGACAAAAGCTCGCTGCGCACATCCCCTAGCTACCGCTTATCACAGTTTTCTCGGGTCATTCGTGGGTAATCGTACAGTTGGAGTTGGAGTTGGAGTTGGAGTTGGAGTTCGAGTCGGGCGTTTGGCTTCGGTTTCAGCTTCATTCTTAGTTTCGGGCAGGCTTTCTCGGACAGGGTCTTGGGCAGAGTATTGACCGCCCCCCTATGAGCATCAGGATTGCTTGGCTCGCCTCGAATGAATCCTGTTCGATTAAACCCTGCTGGGGTTCCTCTTGCGGTACTTCTTGAGGTTTCTCTCGAGCTTCCTCCTCCTGAGGGTTTCCCCCCTGATGTTCAGGTTCTTTCGGTGTTCTCGAGGTTCCCCTCGAAGTCATTCCTCGTGAGGCCCCTCCTCCCCCTCCCCCCGAGTTTCTTCCCCTAATCGAGTCTGCCGAGTGCCCCAGGGCTTATTTTCCGGCCAAGGATCCGGCCAAGAAGTGTCCCTGATTTCGTCACGTAACGATTCATCAACCGACAGTAGCCTTCCTCTTCTTCGAGACAATAGCTTCCGGCCTTCTTCTTCTTCTTCTCCAACATGGGTAGGGAGTAGTTCAGCTTCACCTTTTGCCCAGGCCTCAATGTTCTGCCGTTGTCCATCACCAAGTGACCTGAAGTTGCCATTGGCATCGAGATACCAATTATCGTTGACGATGATAATGTAACCGCCGCCGTCTTTACTCTTGTCATCATCCGCTGAATCGTCCTCTTGGGCGGATTCTGGAACTAGGCCTAGGTCAAATAATTTAGTCACAGGCAACATGTGAGATAGGGAAGTGGGGAAATATCGCATACCGGGAGATGCAACAATCTTAGCTCTCTCTGCTTCTTCCCTTCGAAACTCTTTATGCCGGGTCATATTGTCAAGAAACCTTAGCCAAGAAACGCTCCAGGGCCTGTGTCTGTCTGCAGAGAGTGAAGGAAACGACAGGGTTCTTGGGGGCGAGAACGGCAAAGTCCTTCGAACAGGCAATTTAAGCAGCTCTGTGATTATGTCTTCAGCCTGCTCCGCGGCAGGGCTTTGCTCGCGAGGGCTTAACTCGCGTGAAAGTGGTTGCTGTCGAGGTGCTTGCCATTGGACTTCTCCCCATTGGATTTCTTCCGTTAGGGGGTCTTTTTCCCCTTCAAGTTCTCCTTGGGGTTCATTCTGAAGTTTCCCCCGTTGAGGTTCTTCCAGTGGAGGTTGTTGCATGGGAGGTCGTTGCCATTGGATAGGTTCTTGATGTTCTGCTTGAGGTTGTTCTTGACGCCCTCCCCCTTGAGACCCTCGATAGTATCCCTCTTCTTGAACCCTGGCCATATCTTCCAGCCGAGAAACGACGTTGCTCCTTGATCGACGGCGTCTTCCCTCGGGAACCTGAGGCACATGCTACTCGCGCTCCGGTGGTCCTTGGTTTTCTTGATGAGGGTAATGCCTGCCTTCCATGAAGTGAACGTAATACTCTGTGATCCTGATGAGGAGGCGGTGCTTCGAATGTTGAGGAAGTCTGTTAAGGTGGTAATCTTCCGAGATGACTCTGTGAGCCCACGCGACGATTTGAGTTAAGAGGTGAGATTGAGCTAAGAATTGAGACTCGTCTAAAGGAGGTAGAGGTACCACCACATCTGACGGACGTATGTATAGCTCTGCTGGCATCTGGCTCTGCGACTGAATCTGCTGATGAGGGTGATGCCTGCCTCTCATGAGCTGAAAGTCCTCCTTGACCCTGTTGATGAGCCGGTGCTTTGACTGCTGAGGAAGACTGGCAAGGTGGTAATCTTCTGAGAGGACTCTGTGCATCCAGACGCTGATGTCGACCAACAAGTGACAATTAGTCAAGAATTGTTCCGGTGTGAACACGATTAAAGGAACCGCATCCGACGGGCCAATGAATGGCTCCGCTGGCATCGGCTGGGGAGTCTGGTGAGGCATCTGTTCCCGGTATCGCATGTCCCGGCGATTCTGGTGTGGTATCTGTCCCTGCCACGGCATTGGTCCCGGCGACCCCGTCATCCGTCCCTGCCACGGCATTGGATTCTGGCCTTGGACCTGGCGCATATTCTGGGACATGATCGGATTCTGTTGTGGAATCATCGACCGGGGATTCGGGGATGTGAACAGATTCTGGTTTGGCATTGACCGGGGAGTTTGGTTTGACATGTGTCCCTGCGACGGCATTGAATTCTGGTGCTGAATCGGGCGGGGAACCTGGGATGCGAGAGGATTCTGATCGGCCATCGCCGGCTGGGGAATCTGGGGTGCGAGCGGATTCTTGGGTGGCATCATCCTGGGAGCCTGGTGTATGAGCGGATTTTGGGGTGCGAGCGGATTCGGTAGTGGGATCTGTCCTTGCGACGACGCCAGTCCCGGCGGTGGCATCGCCGGTTGAGGAACCTGAGGAGTGACTGGATTCTGATGGGGAATCTTCGGCCGGGGAAGCTGCGGCGTCATCGGGTTCTGGTGTGGCATCTGTCCCTGCGACGGTATCGGCCGAGGCCTCTGGAGTATGAAAGGATTATGATTTGGCATCGCTGGCTGGGAAATCTGGGGTTTGATCGGGTTCTGTTGTGGCATCTGTCCCTGCGACGGCGTCAGTCCTGGCGGCGGCATCAGTCCCAGTGATGGCATCATCGGCTGGGGAATACGGGGCGGAGACATCGGAGCGTATGGCATCATCGGCCGGGGAGGATTCGGGCTAGTTGTGATGGGGTTCTGCTGTGACGCCGGATTTTGATCAGGAATCGGATCCTTGGCCGGTGGTGGTGGTGATGTGACTAGCTGCAGCAGAGTTCCTTGCTGTTGCTCTACCGACATCTTTGGCCCTGTAGACTCTTTCACCTTTGGTATTGGAGACAAGATCTGCCTCTCCTCTGGCGCCCCGGCCTCTTCCTTCACCTCCTTCTCTGTCACAATGACTCCGTCCTTCTTCTCCGTCGCTTTTTGCAACTCTTTTGCCTTCGCTTCTTGGGCCTTCTGCTCCTGAGCCTTCTTCTCCTCAGCCTCCTTCTCCTCAGCCTCCTTCTCCCGAGCTTCCTTCTCCCGAGCTTCTTTCTCTTCAGCCTTCTTCTCTTCAGCCTCCTTTTCCCTTTGTTTCTCTGCCCCTAGCTTAATTTTCATCTCCAGCGCTTCCATATCCAACGCCTGTTTTTCCCTGGCCTTCTTTTCCATCTCCTCCGACTTCCTAGCTTTCTTCTTCCTGTCTTCCTTCTCCCTCTCTTCCTTTTCTCGTGCCACTTCCTCCACGGTTTCCTTTTCCCTCCTCGCCTTCTGGGCCTCTCTCTCCTTCGCCTCTCTCTCCTTCGCCTCCCGGAACATCTTTTCCCTCGCCTTCTGCGCCTCCCTCGCCCTCGCCAACTTTTCTTCCCTCTCCCTCCGCTTCTGAGCCTCCTCCTCCTCCTCTTCTTCTTCCCGCTTGGCTTTCTCCTCTCTTTCCCTAGCCTCTCTCTTCTCCTGCTCCCTCGCTTGCTGCACCTTTCTCTCCTTCTCCCTCCTTGCCTCCCTTTCCTTCTCTTTCTGCTCTGCCTTCTCTCTCGCTTCCTGCTTCCTTTCTCTTCTCCTTTTTTTCTTGGCTTTATTGATCTGAGCCCTGTTTGACTTCTGCTGCTGTTCTTCGGTCTTGTTAGCCTCGTCGACGTAGTCGTCTTCGTTGTCTTCTTCCGAGTCCGTCTCGTTCTTTGCATTTTCATCATCGTCCCCGTGTTCGTCTTCGTCCTTTTTGTTTTGTTCGGCATTCTTCTTCTTGTCTTGCTCCTCCTCGACATTCTCAACCTGCTCAACCTCCGAATCCTTCACCGCAACAGCGTCACCATCTTCAATGTGCTCGGTCATGAGGTCCTTCAGCGCATCCTCGAAACTGTCTCTCTGCTTGGCGACCTCTTCTAAAAACTCCCGTTCATCCTCCGCGGTCCTCGTCGTCGTCGTCGTCTTCTTCTTTTTCGGCTTCTTTTTCGGCTTGTTTTTCTTCTTCTTCTTCTTCTTCTTCTTCTCCTTATCCTCCAGTCTCTCATCGTTGTCCTCGTCGGTCTCTTCGTCGTCGTCGTAATTCTCATCCTCATTCTTTCCGTCCTGCGCCGTCCCCGTCCCCGTCCCCGTCCCCGTCCCATCCGACCCCCATCCCCAGTTAATAAAATCCGTCACCTCCTGCTCCGTCACACCTACCCCACTCTCGCGTGACTGCTTCATGATATACTCGTAATCCTTTCTCATACAATACATATCCTTTTCCCTGGCCACTTGTACCCGAAGCCATTCTGCCATTTTCTTGCTATCCACCCCGATAGTGTTCATGATACGATTATCTAGCCCTTTAGCTGTCTTCTTGATCGGTATATTGATCGGTATAGAACCGCCACCAAGTTCTGAATCACAAATCATGAGCTGCTTCAAAAACTCCGGATCGGGAAGCGCCACCGGTTTATTGTCGATGACCTTCAAGAGCACGTTCCTGTCCCCAATAGAGGTAATCCCCTCCTTTCCCGTATCACTCCCAAAGCTGTATATCTCCGTTTCAGATTCCTGAAGCACGTGTCCATCCGCAGCGCCCCCTGAAGCCACTCCGTGAGTGTCTTCGTGTTTAATTGTATACGAAAGCTCGGCCCTTCACTTCCCGGGGCTTTCCCAACGCTATCAACAAACCGCAAAAAATCCTGATGCACCGTAACAAATGACCTATGCCCTCCCTCATCCTTCTTTTCCGTTGGCTTGACCTGTTGCTTCGGTGGTTCTGAAGGCGTTTGTGCTGTCACATCCACCCCCCTCTTTTGTTGCTCCTTTTGTACATCTGCCAACAAGACCTTGTAATTGTTCATTATCTCTTTAACAGCCCTTTCCCTATCCACCTGCTCCTCCAACCATTCCACTGCTTTCTTGGTACTCACGCCTATAACAACACGGCCTGTCCCCCGGATCTGACTTCGTCGATGGATCACCATCGAGTTTCTTGGCAACCCAATCTTCGAACTGCCAAACCAAATGCACCTTGTTAGCCGGTGCCACTTTATCGTCCTCTTTGAACAACTTCGGCATCTCCATGGCTGGATCCACCCCCCTCTTTTCCATAATCGCCTGCACACTTGACCATTTCGCTTTCAAGATCTTCACGGCAAGATCCATGTCCAGCGCTGCCTGAAACCAACCCTCTAGCACCTTGGTCTCCAGCTGAAAAGGATTTGGATAGCTCGTCTCCTCAAGTTCCGGCATTTTCCCTAGAGTCTGCAAAAAGCCCTGCAGTTTCTTAGCCCATCCATTCCCTTCTTTACCCTCCTCTTCCGATGGCTTAACTGGCTGCTTCCGTGGCTTATTTTCCGTGTCCACAAAGATCCTTTTAGGTGGGCCGTCTTCAGGTGCCAGAGCCTGTGCGGCTTCCACTGCTACCCGAATCTTTTCCAGGTCCATACGAGACACGGTTTCGCAGGAAGCTTCCACGGTTTCCCAAAGCCTTTTCTTGGCTTCCTCCACATCCTGCAGCTCCCGTTGGCATTCCTGCTGGCGCCGGTGGGCCTTTGCCGCCATGCCTTTCCAAAAGTCCAGAAAGGCCTCCACCTCTATGGACTCCTCTGTTGTAATCGGGTCGCCCTTTTTCGAAATCCGACCGGTTTTAATAGCAGCACGGAGGCGTTTCCACATGTCGTGCTGTTCATCCAGTTGTTCCTTGGTCAACTCCCCTCGCTCTCTCATTCCACGCAATTCTCCGAGGGCAACGGCTATTACACCGTCGGGGTTTTGCTCAAAGTCTTTGGGATCTACTTTCTCCAACCGTTTGCCACGCAGTACCGAGTCTGCGAGTACCAAGTCTGCGCATAGGTTCCCCCGCCTTCCTTGCAACTCTTTTTTGTACTGCGTGTTTGGGGTGGAGGAGATCTGTGCGGCTTCTTCATATGTAGGCGCGTTCAGGTTAGGGTCGACCTGTGTGGCTTCTTGATATGTAGGCGGATCATCGAGGAAATCAATGGGAGGGTCAAGGTCGAGATGAGGGTAGACATCAGAATCGGAACCAGAGTCGGAACCAGAGTCGGAACCAGAGTCGGAACCAGAGTCGGAACCAGAGTCGGAACCAGAGTTGAGACCAAAGTCGGCACCAGAGTTGGAAACAGAGTCGGAATCAGATTGTGGTAAACGGGTGAAGATGGGTGAAACAGGGTAAAAGAGAATCGACTGTCTGTCATTATCGTTGGGCCAAGGAGGTAACGGAGGCAAATCAGCCTGGGGGTGCGAAACATTAGCGTTTCCACCGCCTCCTCGTAAGTTGCCCTAAAACTCGCCGCTGATACCCAAGCCTTCCTCCCTGTCCCGTCTGAGGCCTTCGTCCCTCTCCTCGCTTTCTTCTTTGAGGCGGTCCTCGACATCGTCCCGGATGCCACCCAGGTCTGGCGGAATCACCTGCTGCTGCACGCTGGGGGCGGCATTGACGAAGCGCAACTGCTCGTGTACATGCTGAATGATTTCCTGAAGCCGCTTCTGCGAGTTCCTATTCACACGCGGGTCACCTAGAATCTGCTCGAGCGAGGGGAACAGCTCCTCCTGAACGAAATGCTTCCGCCAGGGAGTGTGCTCGGGGATAATCTTGTTGATCTTTTCGTCAATGTCGATGGCGACCGATGTCTCATAGGCCCTGCGCGGGCCACGTTGCGGGGGGGTGTAGCCACCGCCGCCAAACATGATCATGGGAATGCCAAAGGTTTTGCAAAACTTTGCGCAGGCACCATGGCCCTGGACTTGCAGGTTGAACCTACCCAGGCGGTCGCCGGCGAGCGAGTCGGCGCCACACTGAAGGGCGATGACCGAAGGACGGAACTTTTCGTTGATCTTGCCGATGATGGACTGGAAGAGGTGGCCATACTGCTCGTCGGTGATGCCGTCGTTAAGGGGTACATTGATGGCGTGGTGCGCACCCGGATTGTGCTCGGACTTGGGACCGTTGTCGTCGAGACCGCCAGTGCCAGGGAAGAAGACCTCGGGGGGCGAACTTGTGGAAGGAACAGGTCATGACACGGTCTGTGCTGTAGAAAGCCTCCTCTACGCCGTCACCATGATGGACGTCAATGTCGATGTAAAGCACTCGTGGGTAGCAGCGCAGAAGCTGGAGAACGGCAAGGACAATGTCGTTGATGTAGCAGAAGCCCGAGGCCTCGGACTTTTTGGCGTGGTGAAGACCGCCGCCCCAGGCAATGGCAATGTCGGACTGCTTGTTGCAGATTTTACGGGCGGCGTCCAGGGAGCTGCCGGCAGACATGGAACAGTAGTCGTAGAGGCCGTGGAAGAGGGGGCAGTCGGAGCCGCCGAGGTTGAACTTGACTTCCTTGTCGGGGTTGTCGATATCCCGGGGCATCTCCTCGGGCGGCGCCATGTGCAGGTAGTCGAGATAGTCGTTGGTGTGGAACGAGTTGAGCTCTTCGTACGTTGCTATCCTAGTGTTGTAGTTGTCCATGGCAAAGTTCATGCCGTAGGCGGTGACCAGACTCTTGGTGAGGGTCAGACGGAAGGGCTTCATGGGATGGGTCAGGCCGAAGTGGTGAGGCTCCATGTCGGGGTTGAAGTGGTACGAGACCGTGTATCCCTTGGGACGGGTGATGTTGTATTCCTGGGCCATGCGCTTCATGTGGGCGTAGTACTCGACATTTTCGCGGTCGCTGGCCTTGTCCATGGGGATCGGGGGTTTGTAAACGTCCACGATGGGCTCATCGACCTCGATGTCGTGAGGGAGGTAGTTTGGTTTTGGTGGCCTCCATTGTAGCGACTGTAGGGTGTCCATGGTGCTGCTGCTGCTGATGATGGTGAGTGCTGTGGTGTTTGGTCCGATGTCCTCCGTCCAAGCCCTATGTCGCCGTCTTGGGAGGATCTATGAATACCCTGAAAGATTATGTTTCCGTGATGTTGAAAAGAATGTTTTGATCTTTGTCAAGTCTGTGATGTCTGTCGCCTTGTAGAGTAGGTACTTTGGTGAGAGTCGGCGATTGTGCTTCTAGATCTGCAGACGTGATGCTGTTGATGTGGGCAATATGTGAATGTGGGATTGTGGAATGATGGGATGCAGAAGCAAAGCAGCACTATCACGGGCTCCAGTCAACTGCGCTGGGGGATGCGATGTTCTTGTAGCGTCCTTTGTGTGTTTTGAATGTTCCTTCCTTGAGACCGTGTCAAGGTCAACGCCCGCGGTTGTGCCTGCCCGGCGTCGTGGATCTCGAATTCCATTTTGACAGGAACCATGGACCCCTGTCACCTACCTCTAGGTACCCCCGTACCTCGAAACCCTGTTGAGCACTGCAGCTCGAGGGCAACTCTTTCAGTGAGTGTGTGTCTGGAATCCCGAACTGTCAGCGAGCGTCAGTGCTTTTTCCTGGCGCTTTTTGTGCATTTGTCGCACCTGCTCTGCGTGGCGATCTTGTGCCTGGAAAGGTGGGCTAACCGGATATGGGCTAGTTAAAATATTGCGGGTTGCGTTATTGTGGGCTGCCGGATTGCAGTTGTGATTGGCTGTCATCACCACAAGCTGAGGGTACGTACCTTGGTCATTCTCCCACTGTGATCCCTCCGCAAAAGCCGCCAACCGCCAGGAACTGTGAACAGTCAGAGCGAGGGGATGGAACTCTGGCACGGCGTGGTGTTGCAGTGTGGTCTCTCAGTTTCTGGAGCTCAGGAATGCGGTGTCATGCCTTGAGGTGTGAAAGTGCCACCACTACTGCCTCTGCCTCTGCCTCTGCCTCTGCCTCTGCCTCTGCACATCCAACGGGCGGTCCGACGCGGCTACGGTACAAAGAAACAGTCCAGTCCACCAGTTCCGTCCACGTCCACGCATTCATTCATTGCCTTGCCTTGCCTTGCCTTGCCTTGCCTTGCCTTGCCTTGCCTTGTCCTGTTTTAAGTTGTATGTGTGTGCCAACACCGGGCAACCTCACTTCTTTCTTCAATCTGTCCACCACTACCTATCTTCGCTTTTCTCCCACTCTGGCATGTGTTGCCTTTTTGGATTATTCACCTAAGCACTTGCTACTCGGTTCTTGCTTCTCGTCTTTTGCTTCCTAACTTTCCTCATCACCACTACCTTATATCTACCTTCTGCCCATCTCCCCCCCACTGCCCGGAGTCGCGACGGGAACGACGGGACAACTCCCCCACCACACACAGCACAAAGCATCAGAAACTATCCATCAGTCCATCCATCCATACAGCTCAACTGCTTTTCACACACAAACTGAGAACCAAAAGGAAGACCTGACGAGTACCTTATCTCTCTGCTCGCTGGAAGGTGGCCATTGTCCATTGTCGTTACCCAACAGGTTGACAGGGGGGTTACCTCATCGGTAGCGCGCCCACTTCTTGTCTCCATATCACACTGCATTTTCCTCTGTCGCAAGGTGAGCCCGCTTGGATTTTTTTTGACTCGCGAATCACCAATCGCCTTTCCGTCTGTTCACCTTTTTTTTCTCCTCATGTGTCAACCATATGCCTACAATTGATTACTTTACTTTTACTTATCCACAATACAACTGCGTCATTCCATCTCTATCTACTATCATGTGTTTCTTTTGTCGTCTTCTTCTTCTTCCAACATCTTGATCCTGTGTGCTCCTAGGCGCCTTCCGTCTCATATATACAGAACCTTAATACTTACCTTACTTTTCCCATTCACTTCGGTCGCGCCTGGATCGCGGGGTATCAGACCTTTGCCTCTACCATCCATCCCACTTTATATGACACTCGCATCATTCCAATTCTTGACCCTTTGCGCCGCAACTTTTACTTCCACCAGCCCAGAGCGTGCCTCTTCGAGGCGCCGAGTTAACAACCAGTCATCATGCCTAGAGACGACCTCTCCATCGACTTCGTCAGGAAGATGCCGCCAGCCGCCGAGCTCGACCCATCAATAATCCTCGACGAATGGATTCACAACACCCAGAACCTCCCCGAGGAGATCCGCTTCATGCAGGACGAGATCGCCGAGAAGGACCGACAGTACGACAAGCTGGTGAAAGAGATCGAGAAAAACGACGAGCGCATCCAGAAATTCATCAAAGCCAACGGCAGCTTCCAGCCGAACCCAAAGGAGGAAGAATACCGCGCCACCATCCTCAAGAACTTTGAGCTCGCCGAGCAGCTGTCCAAGGAAAAACTCGAGCTCACCCGAAAGCTCCAACACACCTTCGACAAGCATCTCCGCGCCCTCGACAAGCAGATCAAGATTCTCCACGACCGCGGCGACCCCGGCTTCACCGACCCCGACGAGCTCCCCTCCCTCGTTCGCGACAGCGCCGCCAACATTACCAGCACCCCGACCGTCCTCCGCCCCGTCAACGGGAACCACCCCATATCCACTGCCCTGAACGGCCTCGCAAACGGCGGCACTGGCCCCAACGGCGGCGGCGCTGGCCGAACGAACCAGCTCCGCAACGTCCCGCAGCACAACTCGGCCTCAGCGCCCGCCACGCCCGCCGCGACTATAATCCTCAACCAGCAGCGTGCCCGCGAGAGCTCTGCCGGGCCAGGAGGAGGAGGCGGCGCCGCGCGCAAGGGTGCCGTCCGCTCCAACAGCGGTCTAAACCTACAAACAAGCGGAATCGGCCGGCACTCCTCTCTAGGACCAGGCACGCCCAAATCCTCCACAACCTCGGCGGGCGGTGGTCAACGCGCCGGCAGCGCTGGGCCCCGCGGCACAGGCAAGGCTTCAGGAGGCGGTAGCACCAGTCGCAAGTCCGTACCCTCTGGTAGTTCGGCCGCCTCCCGTAAGAAGGGCAGCAGCGTGCCCACCGCCGGCAGCGGTACTGGACCCGGCGGTGCTTCCGCCAACGGTCCCTCAGGTAGCTCAGGCCATAAATCCTCCCTCTCCCGCGTGCTCAAGCGCGCCGGCACTGGTACCAGTAGCGGAGCAAAGAACAGTCCCAACTCGACCTCCCGCGCCAACTCAACAGGCGACAGCGACCTCTCAGACGCCGACTCGAACCTCTCCGGCTCAGACACCGATCACCGTCGTATCGGCGGTGGTGGCAGTGGTCAAACAGGCCGTAACACCCCTCTCGGCTCTCACTCCCGCTCCGCTTCCCATCACCATCACACCTCCTCCTCCTTCTCCCACAAAGACGACCTCTCCCACGGCGGCGGACACCACACAGGAGGTCACCACCCCTCCTCCTCCCTCGCCTCCAACGGCGGCGGTCACAGTCAAGGACATTTCCAACCCCGCACCTCCCTCCCCGGTCCCCCCGGCTCCCACTCCCACTCCGTTTCTAACCACAACCGCAACCGTTCCACACATCACCAGCTCCAAGAAATGCATCGCTCCCCCTCCCTCTCCGGCCGCAACATCCACTCCAACAGTCATAACCAAACCCATCAAAACCCTAATCTATCCGACGACGAAATGGACCTAGACGACAACGACAACGACCAAATGGAAATGGAACTAGACGACGAAGAAGCCGGCGATGACAGGAAATACTGCTTATGTCAGAACGTTTCGTTCGGAGACATGGTGGCGTGCGACAATGACGAGTGTCCTTATGAGTGGTTCCATTGGAGCTGTGTGGGATTGAAGAGCGAGCCGAATGGGACTTGGTATTGTCCTGTTTGTGCGAAGAATATGGAGAGGGGGGGTGGTGGTGGTGGTGGGAACCAAAATAGCCAGGGACAGGGAGGAGGAGGAGGAGGAGGGAGGGGGGATGGTGGTAATAGTCAGGGGAAGAAGAGTAGTAGTAGCCAGGGAGCGGGAGGGGGGCTGAGTAGTCAGGGTGGAGGAGGGCAGTGAGAGTAGGAGATTGTAAGATCATATGAGCATGGGATGGAGGTCCAAAGAGGTCCAAAGTACAACAAAGTTGTCTGCCTCTATAATGTCACAGTTGCATTATCAGAAAGGAACAAAAACAGTACAAAACAAACAAGGCTCTGCTGCCTCTCTAATTCACGAGAACTACAAACAATCTTAGTTTTCTTCACGACATCGACGTGTCTGTACTTTATAACAGCATTGCATTTGTTCTTATCGCCAAAATCACTGCTAAACCTCCATTCCCAATTCTACCCATCCTACCGCCCATCTTCATCATGCTTCTTTCTCTCCTTTTGAAGCCATCGTCCTTTTATGGACAGACAGCTGTATTACAAAAGAGTAATTTGAATCCCTATTCCATACTATCCATCAATCCATCCATTGGTATATTAATCATATGTACGTGCAGCAAGCAAAGAAGACAGATGATGTAAGGCACGTGCTGATAATCAAAAATTTTGAACAAGAAACGTTTGAAAGAAAAAACGTTTAGTGCTCAAGGAGGCGCAAGCTACCCTGGACGACAACGTTCTCGAGGATGGATCCGGGAGGAATGTCAATGGTCTGACCCTCAGTGGCCACAATAATAACGGTGCCCTTGAGGGTGACGCCACGGCCGAGGTTGACGGCACCAGTGATGGTGAGGTGGTCAAGCTCGATGATCTTGGGAATGCTGGGGATGCGCTTCTGGAAGTCCGACACCTTCTTGAAGTCGTTACCGAGCTTGATGAGGGGAGCGTCACCGAAGCGGGCAGAGCTCATTTGGAGCTGGCCGTGCTTTACGGTGTAGAGATCCGACTTGACGAGCATGAGATCGGAGCAGGTCTTGACGGGCAAGAAGCGGCGACGGGGCACGTTGACACCGGGCGTTCTTGAAGTGCTTGATGGCGGCACCGACGGCGGTCTCGAGCTGGAGAATGCTGATGTCGGACTCGCCCTTCTTGTCGCCGGGGATGGTCTTGCCGTTGGGAATGATCTCGAGCTCGAGCTCGTTGTTCTCGACGACGCGCTTGATGGCGTTGACGTTCATCCAGATATTGTTGGTGTTAAAGTACTTGAACTTCTTGATGGACTTGAACTCGTTGACGTGCTCCTTGGGGACCTGGGCGATCTCGAGGAGACGGACGGAGCCATCGTAGTCGATGATGGTACCACCCTTGACATCGGCCTTGGTCTTGTTGGTAAGCTCCATAATGTACTCGGCATCGGTCTCAACCATGTGCTGGAGGATGCGGAGATCGACGACGGCGCCGAGGTTGTCGGCGTTGGAGAGGAAGATGATCTCGATACCACGCTCAATAAGCTTGTCGAGAATGCCAGAGTTGTAGAGAGACTCGAAAACGTCACCGTGGCCGGGAGGGTACCAGTCGTGGAGAGCAGAGTCAAAGGACTTGGGGACGGGGAGGAGGGAGTCCTTGAAGATTCTGGGGTAGCGGGACTGGTTGAAGGTGAGGATGTCGACGTTGTGGCCCTCGTACTTCTTGATGATGGCAGCAGTGTCCTCATCGGTGTTGAACGAGTTCATGAGGAGGATGGGCACGTTGGAGCCATAGGTGCGGTTGAGGTGCTCAACCTGGCGGACGGACATGTCGAGGAAAGACATGCCATCACGGACTTCGATGACGGACTTGGGGCCGACGCAACCCATGGAGGTACCGAGACCACCATTGAGCTTGAGGACGGCAAGCTTGTTAAGGAAGCCGACCGAGTCGTTGTTAGCGAGGCTCTCGTAGTCGACGATCTGATGAGGGGCAGGAGGAGCAATGCGGTCCCAGGTGCTGTGGAGACGAAAGTTAGCTATCTGTCATCAGTCCCCAGGAATAGAATAGCTGGAAAACGTACACCTCGTTGCCCTTGGCCTTGTCGTTCAGGTAGCGACGGAAGAGGGAGAAGAAGTTGTCCATCTCGGTCTCAAAGAGCTTCTTCTGGCTGGGGTCCTTGACCGTCTCGGCCAGGTCTGTGAGGTGGTTGCGCATCTGGGCGGCAGCAATGTTTGTCGAGGTGTTCTCGAAAGCCTTTGAGGGTGGTGTTAGTGCTTGGACTGTCATCTTGTTGAACGGATAATAAAGAATGAAAATACTGACCATGTGGGATCTAGTCTTGCCATGGTGCCTCTGGGTGAACTCGGACTCGTCGCCGTTGGAAGGCTTGAGGCGGTCGGGGAGGGCGCTCCTGATTGCTTGGGCCATTGTGTCGAATTGTGTAATTACGTTGGAAAAGAAGGTCGAAATGGTGAACGGCGTGTTGGAGGATTAAGTAGGTATAAGTAGTAGTAGTAGTAGTAGTAGTAGTAATAGTAGTAGTAGGAAGTTGGTGTGGGAAGGAAGCAGCTTTCTATATTCTTTGAAACGTGCGGGAGTGTGTTAGCCTGGACGCTCTTGACGTAATGAATGGAAACCAATCGACTAATGCAGCCAGGAGTCGAGATCGGCTGGGCCTCTGGCTGGAAATGGAAGCTGGCAGGCTGGATAGCAGAATGGATCCGCCAGTTTTCTCTAGCGTCTTTGCAAATGACAGCTCAATTGTCGACGGTGGACACGTTGAGGATCGGCCCAGTTTGTGCCAGTCAGAGAAGCCAAAGGGGGAAGGAGGAATCAGGAGAAAGAGAGACTCGAACCAACGGTGAGGTTGCCGTGAGTCGTTCGTTCCCCTGCCAGCCAGCAGCCAGCACCCAGCCAGGAGGTGTGAGGTAGTGTCTGTTTAGTAGGGTGGGGGAGGTGAGGGGTGGAAAAAAGGAGGAGGGGCAGCTGCAAGTGCAGCCAGCAGCCTCAAGCTGCCATCATCCGTGTGTCTCCATGTCTCCTAGGGTTTCGTGGTAACTTACAGCTTAAACTTCCAATATGTGATGACCGAGATGGGAGAGAGAGATAGAGAGAAGGATGAAGGATAGAGCAAAACAACGTTCAAGAAACTCGAGGGTGGGCATGGGGATCTCGATGCTTTTATCTTGTTCATGGAAACATGACATGGCCCATAGAAAGTCGGAACCCCAAGCTAGGTGGCTGCTCGTAATGGCTCGTACTGGGCCCGTACTTGGGCGCGCCAGAGTGGAAATTGTTAGGGAGCCATGTACCTGAGCAAGGTAGCCTGTGGGTCACCCCTCGACCACCCCTCCGATCGGGCCCAGGCTCATCTTCAACCGACACAACCGTGTGGCGTCATTGGACTGCTTGACGAAGAGACGAACCAGGGTTTGGCCTCTTGAACATTTTGTCCCTACAAGCACTGCAGTGCAACTCGAGCTTGGCTTTCTTCTGTCTGCTTATTTCACGATTGGGCACTCATTGGCATCTCAGACACCCGACTGCACTTCGGAATCTTCTTTTTCTTTTCCCGACGCGGGGACTTGGGTTGCCCCTGGCGTCAATGTTTAGTTGGGTGCAGTGGTGAGCTGCTGCAGCAGTGAGCGAGCAAGGCATAAACACCTGGGTAACCCCGCCTCCACTTCCATGCCAACATCACCGTCAGAATGGAACCTGCCAGTCTGCCTAAGCAGCCGAACCCAATCCGCAAGACGGAGCCCTTTTTGAAGAAATATCTGCCTTGATGAAGTCTTTGCTCAACTTGTTGAGACTCTTGGGCTGTTGTTTTGCGAGATGTTTTGCAGTAAAAGGCGGGTGTTTGGAGTTGAAGGAGGTGTGAAGGCAGAGGATCGCCAAGTGGTTCACTTAGTTACTGTCCACCTACAGCCAGCCAGGGGTAAGGCATAGTTCTACCTACGCATCCAAGCTGCTGCATCGCCGCCGTCGGCTTAAAAAAAAAAAAGAAAAAAAGAAACCGGCCAGCCAGCAGTCAAAGAGCATTGTCGAAACTCGATGGATCACTGGTCAACTTGTTTGGCTTAAGCTTCCTGCCCAACCTGCGACTTCTGCCAACCATGTTGCCCTGACGTTTCCCCCTTTCGAGAGTTAGGTTCAGAGTACTAACTAATAGGGGCATCCACCCATCCACCTACCTCTACCTCCCTGCCTAAAAGCTTCCAGGACGAGGTCTGACCGTTGACCGGAAAAAGATACTTCGAGAACTATCTGGCGTGGGTTAGACTGGAGACGGACCCAGCTCCATCTCCTACATCCCCCGGTTCATGGATTAGGGGGGAAAGGGAAAAGCTCACCAGCTTCTTCTTCACCCACTTCACCCTCCATCGTAAGCCCTCCCCGATGCGGTTCCTGACCTCTGGCTACAGCTTCCTTTTGGCTGCCTCTTTGGAGGGGCTGCTAATGTTGCTTTCAGCCCCGACGGGAGCTAAAAACAGGGTGGTGGGACCAGCAAGAGATCACGATAGATCCACCGTGGGCTTTCCGGTGGACATGACCAGGAAATTTGACAGACTCAGGAACCACAGCGGAACATGTTCTTCGGATGCAGCAGAGGCTTCAATATCTTTTGCTTCTTCTGATACATATCACAACATCACAAGAGAAAAAAGAGTGAAACGCCACCGGCAGTAGTCCAACATCTGGGCCTATGCTGTGTTCCGGGAGATAGGCGGTTTGTTTGTGTACAGAGTAGCAGATGGGTGGTTGGCCCGACTGGCCGTTCTGACGTTGTGGTACAGAACAAATGCCCCTTACACGAAACGGGTAATTACGGCTCGACCTTAAATTAAGCGAGACGTCAGAGTGGAAGCGACGAACGACGACTTTTCTATCATGAGATGCTCTTTCCAGTCCAAACCCCAAGGGGAAATATTCTTCCTTTCTCTCCCAACGTTGCAATCTTCAACCCAAAATGAAATATTCTCTCATTCGACTTTTCTTTCTCGACAGCATCACCGGGCCTTCTTCCCATTACATCCATGGCTGACGGCATCGCGAAAGGATTCCAGGTCTGATGCTTCTCCTGAGATTCCGTTTTTTCCGTTCGGCCAGACAGCCCCACCCTGGTCTTCTTTTTTTTTGGCCATGTCTAAATGAATACATGCGACGAATACAATCGCTGCTAACATACTCTCACCTCACCGCAACCCACCACCCACCGCAACAACTACACTACACCACCACGAGGCCATCACCGCCGTATACAACAGGGTACCAGGTCTAGACGTTGTTAATATGACAGTCTCCGCCAAGAACAGGTCAGCCGCTCAGGCATCTCCCAGAAAATCGTAACTACAGCGCTCGTTAGCCCCAAGATTCCCACGTGGAAAGGGGAGCCGCGCTGTTTTGCTACTCCGTACCTTACACCGAGTCCCCATCCCAAATGTCGGAGCGAGGCGCTCGACGGCGAGGACGGTGGAAGGGCTCGTTACACGGCCGTTTCTCTCTCTCACCGATACGGCCCATTCGTCCATTGGGGGCAATTTGGGGTGAATTTGAAAGTGTGGATATCTTCATGATTCCCGACCCGCCCGCTCATTCAAGAGAAATGGAAAGCAGCGGAACCAATAACACCCCTGTCCCATCCCCCCTTCCAAGCTAGTACTTCCCTACGACTTACAACCTCAACAGCATAACATTCTGCTGCCCCTTCTCCCCATTTCACTTCGGTACAACTCGGCTGACGGTGATAGCTTCACTCTTTTCAGTCCAGTCTTCAAGGTTCACGGATCGACTGTACAACCATGCAAACAAGCAACGCCCATGACCACACCATAGTGTCCCTGATGATGATCATGACCACCCTCCCCGTGTTAGACCACATCTGTCTTAGACCACTGAGAATCGTTCGTCTTGGCACATGGGTTTGTTTCTTTTGCCCCTGATTTTAGTGTTATTTACATACATTCCCAAGTGGGACTTTTCTACTATTTTGAGGTCAGCAGAGTGACAGTTGTCTTCTGCGAGCTGATCAACTCCATCGACGTCTCTCGCTTTTGAGCCAAAGAACACAAGGGATTCATACAAGTATTGATTTTGGAAGAAAAGGGAAATCGAAGGTTCCGCAACACAGCCACTGTCAGATGGAGAGAATTTCATAACATGTCAGCACGTGGATGATATGGGATGGATAAGCTTGTAAGCAACCCTTCAACTCTTCATCGGTTCAGGATTAATGATTGTGGCCGAGCTGGCATCCGTTTCTCGCAAGCCATTCGAATGTCGACGCCTAGAGCTGAACATTGAATACAAACATATGGACGAATCATACGGCTGAGCTGAAGCGTCTATCATCTCATATGAGGCTGGACGAGGCTTGCGCAACTGAGAACGCAACACCCAGAAAGACCATGTGTGATACCGGCAATATCTGCAAACATGGCCTCACGTTTGCTGCTAGTTTTGCTTTTATCTCAAAATCACCCATCATAAAATCCAGCTACTCAATTCGTGGGAGTTGCTCTGTTGTATCTTCGCTTCCTCTCAGTGCCGCTCAGCATCAGCCTTGTAAGACTATCACAGCCCAACCTCCTAATCTGATAAAGAACCACCACCCTCGGAGATATCTCCTGGAAGGGGCTTGCCTGTCTGCCAAATCAAGCAGTGACCACGGATACCTCGACCCAACGAGGAACCTTGCGTCTTCAGAAGAGGCAGGTCAGAAAGGATCCAGATTCTACAGGGCTGAAGCGGCTTGTGTCGACTTGTCAAGGAACTCTCTTGCTCTCGGCAGTGGGGTTGGCACGGTTACCAATGGATCTTCACAAGGTACATGAAGATACAGTAGCGCTTGGAACAGACGGCGCTGTCAAGATATGTCGATCATGAGCGGGAAAGACTGAAAAGGATATGAAGCTTGGTGACTTCGGCTGCCTTTTTGGCTGTCGTTGGCTTATTCAGCTGACGAGGAGGCGGCTGGATCAGCCACAACACCGTATCAAACATCGCTCATCGATTACTGAAGTCGGAAGTAGTCGGACTGTCATGATTAATCCAGCTGGGCTTCATGGATCACGCCTCTTTCTTGATGATCGATAATGGTTTTCTCAACTTTACGTTTGCTCAGCACGGACCTGGCTAACGGGCCGAGTTAACTACACTCACATGGTGCCATTATTTGGGATCAAAGCCAACGTCTTGTTGAAACGGTCTGGAAGCTGAATCGATGCCTGGCTTATCTGCCTTCCATCGAGACCTCCTGCCTCGCAAGGCAAACATATCTGTTTATCAAACAAATCCATTGGTTGACCCAGCAGGTCCGACTATTAGCCATCAGAGAAAAGAATCATTTTCTACCTCAACCAGCAAACCTGTTGACGGTCTATATAGTGGACTGAAGCCAATTGGCAAGTCCCGCAGTGGTTGATCCGTTAAACGTTCGGAAACGTTCCGTCTTACCTCCGGCCAACGGCAAGCACTGCCGGCCGGACCCCCCGGTCTTGGCAAACCTCCTGATTTCATAACCACACTCCTGACTCCTTCCGTGCTTCACCGTCACTCCCTCACTCCATAAGGTACTTTTGGCACTTTCTTATCAGTTGATATGCACAGGTACTTAAATCTTTCCTAATCCAAATTCATTCGCACTCCTCCCATTCTCCTCAATCACCAACCAGTACCTCACTACAACAAACCAACAACAAACCAACACATTAACACATTAACACATCAACACATCAACACATCAACACATCAACACATCAACACATCAACACATCAACATTAACAATGGGAAGTCTAACCCCCCCTCCAACCTCTAAACCCAAACCAGGAGAATCACCCGACATCCTCGACCTCGACCTCGACCTCGACCCCGACGCCGAAACAAAACCCGACCTCCAAGATCCCATACAACTACTGGCAAATCAACGCCCCTCCCTCTTCTATATACCACCCATCCCATGCCTCATTTTCTTCATCAAGCAAAGAATGCCCTCCCTTCCTCCTCCGCACCGTCCTCCCACCTAAAGACCTCATCACCATCAGCACCCCCAACCATTTGTATAAGCTCGATACCTGGCCGGAAGTAGTCCAGCGCGTGCGAGAAAACAAGCTGGCAGATTTTCAGAGAACGCCGGCGGATATGTGGCGGTATTTGGAGTTTTGTTACAACATAAAACAGGAGTGGAAAGGGGGGGTTAAGGAGTTTATACTTACGAGACGACTCAAATGGGAGTGGCCGGGGCCGGTGGTGGCTAAGGGAACGGGATTCTACGAGGGTTGTGAAGAGAGGGGGGATGTCAAGATTTTATGGAATGATTGGCCTTATGGGATCGATGAGAGGATTGTTCACCTTGTGGTGTGGACAAAGTTTGAGCTGGAGGATGATCCTGCGACGGGGGATTTGACGGATGAGGCGAGGGGAGAGATTGATGAGTATGTTAAGATGACTTTTGGGGGGAAGGTACCTGAGGAACATGTAAGTTTTTGTCCTTCTTTCTCCGCCGTGATGTTGACTGTGATTGTGAATGGAGACTAATAATGAAAAACAGATCATCTGGTTCAAGAACTGGGCTCACATCAAGTCGGTAAAAGCCGTGGAACATTTCCACGTCATGCTATTTGACCCAGACCCCGAGTTTGTGAAGGAGATCACGAACGGTGATGTCCCCCTTGGTATCATACAGACGAAATAACGAATAAAAGAACCCGCCCACCTTTTCAACAACCAGCGCAAACAAGTAGCGTCAAAAACCATCGACTATGGAATAAACTCGCAAGAACCGCTGTCATGTGAGAACCTCAAATATCTAGCTGGCATTTGGCCTTCCGGGCGCAGGAAAGCCGTAACCGGCTCGCACCTCGACAATCGGGCAGTCGGCAAGAGGCACTGCGGTGGGCTTCTCCATCTGAATGTGTACCTGCCACTTTGAGTGGTCTTTCATGTGATCCGGCTCAAGCAGCTTTTCAGCCAGATGAGCACCGAGAGCTTCAAGGGTCTCGTAGGAGGATTCTTCAAGGGCCTAGTGATTTTGTTAGCGCTGTCTGAAAGAACTGTATTCACAGGGATGGATACCAACCTTGACAACAACACCCTCCAGCTCCGGGTAATAATCATCCATGCGGAAATACCTCTCCACATTCACGCTCGTCGTAACAAACTGCTTGGCCTTTCTCTCATGGGGATTCACACCCACCAACGTCGGCACCCTGAGGTTATAAATCTTCAGCGACGCACTGATAAGATTCTCCCTCATCTTCTCGCCCGGTCCATTCTTGAAGAACTGGCTGCACGTCATGCTCACGCCGTCACCCAGTAAAGACGCCTTGGGAAGCGTCACCGTGAGGCTCAGGAACTTGACCGTCGAGATATCAAGAAACGGCTTCTCCTCCTCCTTCACTGACCCAAAGTGGGCCCACCCCGTCAGTCCAACCCACAGATCATGGATGACGTACGCCAGCGTGAAGTTGCTGTCGCCGCCGTTACTCTGGAGAAGATCCTCCCTCGGAACAGTGAACCGTTTCATCCGCTCCAGAATCGCCTTGCTCAGGTTGCCGTAGTGCACCGTGTCGGCGCCCAGCTGGTCGTTGGCGGCCGCGGTCCCGAAGGGTTGCTTGAAGTGGACTTCGGCGGAGATGAGGCATGGCTGGGGAGCGGCGACGCATTTGCGACCCCAGGCGTCCGAGGCGGCGTACAGGTTTGTGGAGAGGTTGCGGACCGAGACGGCGGCGCAGGGTTCGCCCGCTTGGGAGCGGACGTGGAAGTCGGAGACGAAGGTGTCGGCCATTTTTGAGGTGTGTCGAAGTGAGCTGGGGATTGAGTTAGCGGTCTTGTTTGGGTTCCTAACTGGAATGGACAAAAAAAAACACACTTACATGGAAATTTGTGAGATTTGTGAAGATGATCAAGTGAAAAAGATGTGAACTTTGTGATGTCGTGATGTGATTCACATGGAACCTTTGTTGCTTGGCTCCACTATCGTTGTCCGGTTGCGCTAGTGACACTTTTGTGAATTGAGTTGTCGAAGGAGAATTTTCAGAACCACAAGATGGACTCAAGAGAGGGTATCATCAGTTTTTATACTCCATCAATTGGAATCAATCGAGACCTGATGGAAGGGAAGAAAGAAACGAAGCTCGTGATCCCATCTTGTGCCTCCCGTCCAATGCTCTTGCTCTTGCTAAAAATGACCTGACAGAACGGGCGAGACCGCGAGAGGGGACTCGGACCACCTCACTTGTCACCTTACGTCACAGTCACGTTGGACCCTAACCCTTGTGTTTACGCTTGCTTGGCGTAACGTGATGCCTGGGTGTCGGGACATCACTCAGTCTTAACAGACCTTTGACGTTGGACGTTCTTTCTTTCTCTCTTTCTCTATTTCTTCAAGTTCGTTAAGTCACCATCTTCCATTTCGAGTATCTTGATCATAAATATTCTGGAATCGTTGTTCTTGTTGGGCTTCTAGATCAATTGAAGGATTGCCGCTCATTACACGCTGGCAGATTATCGAAACAACACGACGCCGAGAATTTGGGGAGATCAAGGGCCGGCTTTTCTGCTCTCTATCTGGCGATGATGGGATTGAACTTGACAAGAACTTCGCGATGTCTTCCCTCAGAATGTCTCATTCCGCTCCCCATTTTGTTCCTTCCCTTTTTCATCTGTGTCCCGTCCAGTGGAATCTCGCATCATGATGTCGTGAGTGGAAATCATTTGTCGAGGTTGAAGGAGGGAAGGTACAAGTCGTACCTCCTGTAAAACTCAACGTCGTGGTTGCTCTTCCCCGCGGGCATGGAATGACTGGTTTTGGCGAGGAGCGCTTTCCACGACTTTTTTCACGTTGGCGACCAGACTGAGATTTCTGGAGAATTCTGTTCACGAACCCAGTTCAGGTTGCTTCAGTCTGGTTTTCCTTGGAATTTTCTGTCGTCTTTGGTATCATCATCATCATCTTCGGTATCATCATCTTTGGCATCATCATCATCATCATCGCCATCATCATCGCCATCATCATCGCCATTGTTATCTACTAGGAAAACAAGAGGCATTCTCGATTGTCTACAACCTCATACAAGTGGACACTTAAGAGCACGCTCACGTCGGACATAGTCCAGTCGCGAAAGAATGGATTAAGCACTCCGAGTGGCGATCGGCGAGCATTAGGGAATGCAGGAAACTAGAGCTCAGGTAATCTGAGCCGGCGGTATCTGTGATGAAGCTCATCTAGCACCGTCATCATTTTGCTCCATGTTTGTCTCTCGAGCTTTCCCGGTTCATCGGGCCATTCTTCCTCAAGCCTGAGCTGACTACTCGACAGGTTGAAGGTTTTGGTTTATGAACAGACCACCTATAGTGGCAGAAGGATGACTGGCGCAGGGAGACCCAGCTTGCACATGTTGACGCGAGCGAGCTGTCCATTTGTTTCCCCCCCCCCCCACCTCTGCGAGCATCCTGAAGCAATGAATCAGAAAGTCATTTCTCAACATCACTGACACCTTGCGTTCGCATCTTGGGAAATCATTCTTTCCAGAGACGCAGATATTCCCTTGCCATGGAGTTTATGCCGACGCACACGCCGCCGCGGTTATCAACGGATGGCCATCGATCTGCTCCTTCCCAAATATCATCAATTCTATTGACAATAGAAGGCACTTACTCGATTCTTGAGCTTGTGTTCGATGGAAGCTACGGTTGAAGAAAAACTGGACCATCTTCGACATGACCCGAAGAGATCAGAAAGTCCGTGTCCCATGGCCTCCTTACTTCTGCATCATCACTATCACCGCCCGAAGAAACCCAAGCCACGGGAATCATCAATCATTACATTGCGCAAACACAGCGTACATTCTCGCTGTCTACGCCCTGAATTACTTCTCATCTTCTCTTCGAACCAGAGTGAGTCTTGTTCCCTATCTACATGAACATGTATATGCGGAAGCTAACGTCAAGATACTGGGTATTAGGTTATTCCAAGCTTCGGACGCGCAGCCTTGAGCAAACAAGCCTACAAAGTCTACAACACGAGACAGAAACCAAAAATGTGTCTCCACGTGCGAGTTTTCTATCAATGCGGATGTGACGCCACCGTAGCCAGCGGGCTATGGTCTTGCCATGGATATGTGCATCACTGTTACGACAGAGCCGGAAGAGAATGCAATTATATGCTCGCCAACGATTGTGGCCGACCGACCTGCCAAGGCGTGAAAAACTACTGGAGCTGGCACGTCCATCACGGGCTCTGTGATCAGCAACGATGGCTGTCATTCATCCAGAGCTACGGCAGGTGGTGTGATGCCGGCGCCAACAACCAACTCTCATCCCAAGAAGTTATACAACATCCATACGAACACGACCGTCCTGTATGGACCCCCCAATACCCTCGCTACCACCAGCCTGGATTTAACTTCTTGGCCTTTTCGGAGCGGTCCCATCCGTTTAAAGCGAAAGACCAGACGCCGCCGCCGTGGCCTATTCTCGATATACCTAGTGCGATGCTTGGCGGTGATCACGAGGAATATCCAGCATTGAACATGGTAGTGGGCGAGGAGGATATAGAGTGTCACGTCGATATACGTCGTCGCCTAACCATAGAACAAGTTCACCTTCATATGCTCTCCTTGTTTGTGGGGTTCGGCTTAGAGGTACCTGACAGGAGAGAAGAACCTGTTTAATTTCGCGTCCTATGAGGGCAGCCAGTAGTAGGCTTGGTGTGTGTACATATATGTTATTAGCGAGAGACGGATATTCGTAGTCTTATCGGCCTTGCCTTGTGTGGATAAGTGGGAGAGGATGTGCTGCCGGAGAACGGTTAGCATTGAGTGAAGGATTACAATCCGTTTATTTCTTCAGGGGGTTAGACAGGCAAAGGGGATGGATGAGTAGGTATGTAGAGACAGGGAATTAGCCGCTTCTTTCTTGATAGCAAGGAGTACCAAGACACAGCGAGTGAGTTACATCCCACACTCCCATGACACTTATTCATTGCTAACGCCAATTAACTAAGAATACGAAGACCAGCCCCTTTGTCAAACTCGCCTTGCTTTTTCTTCTCTTCTCTTCGGATGTACCTGAAATCAACCCTCCCATCACTCTCATAACCTACCAGTCATCCCAATTCAATCTCCC